GATTTGCTATAGCAACTTACATCAATTTTGTGTTAACAAGCATTTCAACTTCGAGTTTGATTTAAGTGCTTCATGAACTTGGGAAATCAATTCTGCATCTCTGGAGTCAAGTCTACTTTAATTGTTTTGTTTTGTTTCCAGCACATTAAAATCAAAGGCCCATGCCTGAGTAATTGGAGAAAATCGTCTCAGCAATTATTGCTAAATTGCAGAGACAACAACCAGCCCTGGAGCACAATTATCCTCTATTAAGGGTAATTATGCCAACAAACACAACAGGGACACAAGGTATGAACAATCCTCTACAATGGGGTGTCTGTTAATTGTCAACAGTGCTATGAGGCTGGGTTCTGCAGTGACATACACTGCCTTCGGAAAGTATTCAGACCTTTAAAAAAAAATTACGTTAGAGCCTTATTCTAAAATTGATCAAATCGTTTTTTTCCCCTCATCAATCTACACACAACACCCCATAATAACAAAGCAAAAACACGTTTTTAAAAATGTTTGCTAATTTATTAAAAATCTCAAACTGAAATATCACATTTACATAAGTATTCAGATCCTTTACTCTGTGCTTTGTTGAAGCACCTTTGGCAGTGATTACAGCCTCAAGTCTTCTTGGGTATGACACTACTAACTTGGCACACCTGTATTTGGGGAGTTTCTCCAATTATTCTCTGCAGATCCTCTCAAGCTCTGTCAGGTTGGATGGGGAGCGTCGCTGCACAGCTATTTTCTCCAGAAATGTTCAATCAGGTTCAAGTCCGGGCTCTGGCTGGGCCACTCAAGGACATTCAGAGACTTGTCCTGAAGCCACTCCTGGTTGTCTTGGCTGTGTGCTTAGGGTCGTTGTCCTGTTGGAAGGTGAACCTTCGCCCCAGTCTAACGTCCTCAGCGCTCTGGAGCAGGTTTTCAATAAGGATCTCTCTGTACTTTGCTCCGTTCATCTTTGCCTCGGTCCTGACTAGTCTCCCAGTCCCTCCTGCTGAAAAACATCCCCACAGCATGATGCTGCCACCACCATGCTTCACCGTAAGGATGGTGCAAGGTTTCCTCCAGACGTGACGCTTGGCATTCAGGCCAAAGAGTTCAATCTTGTTTCTCATGGTCTGAGAGTCCTTTAGGTGCCTTTTGGCAAACTCCAAGTGGGCTGTCATGTGCCTTTTATTGAGGAGAGGCTTCCGTCTGGCCACTCTACCATAAAGGCCTGATTGGTGGAGTGCTGCAGAGATGGTTGTCCTTCTGGAAGGTTCTCCCATCTCCACAGAGGCTCTCTAGAGCTCTGTCAGAGTGACCATCGGGTTCTTGGTCACCTCCCTGACCAAGGCCCTTCTCCCCCGATTGCTCAGTTTGGCCGGGCGGCCAGCTCTAGGAAGAGTCTTGGTGGTTCCAAACGTCTTCCATTTAAGAATGATGGAGGTCACTGTGTTCTTGGGGACCTTAAATGCTGCAGACATTTTTTGGTACCCTTCCCCAGATCTGTGCCTCGACACAATCCTGTCTCGGAGCTCTATGGACAATTCCTTTGAATTGGTTTTTGCTCTGACATGCACTGTCAACTGTGGGACCTTACAGTGCCTTGCAAAAGTATTCATCCCCCTTGGCGTTTTTCCTATTTTGTTGCATTACAAACTGTCATTTAAATAGATTTGTTTTGGATTTCATGTAATGGATATACACAAAATAAATAACGGAAAAGTGGTGCGTGCATATGTATTCACCCCCCTTTGCTATGAAGCCCCTAAATAAGATCTGGTGCAACCCATTACCTTCAGAAGTCACATAATTAGTTAAATAAAGTCCACCTGTGAGCAATCTAAGTGTCACATGATCTGTCACATGATCTCAGTATATATACACCTGTTCTGAAAAGCCCCAGAGTGTGCAACACCACTAAGCAAGGGGCACCACCAAGCAAGCGGCACCATGAAGACCAATGAGCTCTCCAAACAGGTCAGGGACAAAGTTGTGAGAAGTACAGATCAGGGTTGGGTTATAAAAAAATATCTGAAACTTTGAACATCCCACGGAGCACCATTAAATCCATTATTAAAAAATGAAAAAACAAACCTGCCAAGAGAGGGCCGCCCACCAAAACTCACGGACCAGGCAAGGAGGGCATTAATCAGAGAGGCAACAAAGAGACCAAAGATAACCCTGAAGGAGCTGCAAAGCTCCACAGCGGAGATTGGAGTATTTGTCCATAGTTACCACTTTAAGCCATACACTCCACAGAGCTGGGCTTTATGGATGAGTGGCCAGAAAAAAGCCATTGCTTAAAGAAAAAAATAAGCAAACACGTTTGGTGTTTGCCAAAAGGCATGTGGGAGACTCCCCAAACATATGGAAGAAGGTACTCTGGTCAGATGAGACTAAAATTGTCTGGCGCAAACCCAACACCTCTCAACACCCCGAGAACACCATCCCCACAGTGAAGCATGGTGGTGGCAGCATCATGCTGTGGGGATGTTTTTCCATCGGCAGGGACTGGGAAACTGGTCAGAATTGAAGGAATGATGGATGGCGCTAAATACAGTGAAATTCTTGAGGGAAACCTGTTTCAGTCTTCCAGAGATTTGAGACTGGGACAGAGGTTCACCTTCCAGCAGGACAATGACCCTAAGCATACTGCTAAAGCAACACTCGAGTGGTTTAAGGGGAAACATTTACATTTACATTTCTTGGAATGGCCTAGTCAAAGCCCAGACCTCAATCCAATTGAGAATCTGTGGTATGACTTAAAGATTGCTGTACACCAGCGGAAACCATCCAACTTGAAGGAGCTGGAGCAGTTTTGCCAGTGGCTAGATGTGCCAAGCTTATAGAGACATGCCCCCTTGCAGCTGTAATTGCTGCAAAAGGTGGCTCTGCAAAGTATTGACTTTGGGGGGGGGGGGGGGTGAATAGTTATGCATGCTCAAGTTTTTTTTTTGTCTTATTGCTTGTTTGTTTCACCCCAAAAAATATTTTGCATCTTCAAAGTGGTAGGCATGTTGTGTAAATCAAATGATACAAACCCCCCAAAAAACAGGTTGTAAGGCAACAAAATAGGAAAAATACCAAGGGGGGTGAATACTTTCCCAAGCCACTGTATATAGACAGGTGTGTGCCTTTACAAATCATGTCCAATCAATTGAATTTACCACAGGTGGACTCCAATCAAGTTGTAGAAACATCTCAAGGATGATCAATGGAAAAAGGATGCACCTGAGCTCAATTTCGAATCTCATAGCAAAGGGTCTGAACACTTAAGTAAATACAGTATTTCTGTTTTTAATTTTTTATAAATTTGCAAACATTTCTAAAAACCTGTTTTCGCTTTGTCAATATGGGGTATTGGTGTGTAGATTGCTGAGGATTTTTTTAAATTCAATCCATTTTAAAATAAGCCTGTAACGTAACAATATGTGGAAAAGGTCAAGGCACAGTTTATTAGGTACACCATCCCCTTCACGAAAATGTTTAGTTCCTACAGACAGCGTAATAAAGCAGGAATACAGTTATCCAGTTACTGTTCGATTGAACGTTAGAATGGGCAAAACGAGTGACCCAAGTGACTTTTAGAGTGGTATGATTAATGCCAGGTGCACTGGTTCCAGTATCTCAGAAATCTCATTATCCCGGTTCCTGTTGCGTCATGCTGATGGGGAGTCAGGATTTGGCGTAAGCAGCATGATTCCATGGCCCCATCCTGCCTGGTATCAACGGTACAGGCTGGTGCAAGTAATGTTTTCCTGGCATACGTTAGGTCTCTTGATACCAATTGAGCAACGTTTCCATGCCACAAAGAATTCAGGCTATTATGGAGGCAAAATGGGGTCTCACTGAGTGTATATCACTACGGGACCCATACATGGATATCTGTGAAGATTCTCTTGTGCAAAAAGAGTTCAGTATAAAAAAAACAAGGTAACTTTGATTTGAACAGGTTGCACATTTTATTTAAAAAAATTTCCCAATACAATCTTAAACCCCCAAAAAAACAATGACAAATTGAAATTTTTAAATGTATGTAAAATCTGCTTATTTTATAAAATAGCTCATTTCAGGCCTTAGAGTAAAGCTATTTGAACAGCACCCTTATACAAGGCATGGATCGAGGATTTCTGTCCTGACCCTGAAATCTCAGTTGAGTACAACATACATAATTAGATAAACACTCATACAGTCAAATAAATGCCATTTAACTAGTCAGCCAAAAGCAGACACACTGATCAAGGTGAAAAATAAGAAATACAAACAAAACAAGGTAAAAAGTAAGGTTTAGTTATTATAAACCTTTGGCAGAGAAGGCATTCTTAGCGTAATATTAGGAGTCCCAATATTGTACTCTGTATAACGGAGAGGTTGATTGGTACAGACAAACCTGGCCTGAATCATGGCAGGCATGTAGAAGGAAAGACACTGACAGGAATGACATCAGCACGATATCCAGCATGTGGATTCAAGTTTAAACAAATGACAGCCATCTGAGCAATCGTGGAAGTGCATTTCTCCTCTACATACGTACATTCTATATTTTACCCACATAAGTACAGTAACTCCATGTTTAAATGACAATCCCATTCCTGTAAAGTATTGTCTTCTAATTCTGTGTATTAACAACAGTTCATATTTGCCTAACATACATTTGTGAAACCAATCAAATTCACTCAGACAGCCACCAATAAGATGTTGTCCTCACTTCAAGGCTTATATTACAAAACAAATGCATACTGTACTTATAAAATAAGTTAAAAATAGGATGTAAAAAGTCTGAAGCCAGGGCTGTAGAGTGAACTGGTCAATAACCCCTTCTTCATGAAAAATGCGGGGGTGTAGTCCTTTGAGACGTAACTGCAGTCAGAGACCAAACTGTATTCTCAATGTCACACCACTATCAAACACCAACCAGAACAGAAGATATACAGAAGAGCCATGTTATTCAGAAGTGTAAACCAGTGTTTCATTCTGTTACTCGCTGATCTTCATGTGACCCCTGACACCTGTGGACCTCCTCAGTGAACTTTCTCCAGCTTGGCCTGCAGGGCCTTGAAGTTGCCGATGGTGAGCCGCAGGGCAGAGTTAGGACTCAGGGACTGCAGCTCCACCAGGTAACCACAGATGTTATCCAGACACACGTTAGTGAATCGCCGTCTGATGGGGAGAGAGAGAAATATGAGTTAGACAGAGCATATTAGATAAACTACAGATACATTTTAAACATGTTACAAACAATAATTGTCATGACTATGTATGCAGGTTGATATGTTTGCTAACGAAGACAGCAGCGACGGTTAGCACACTTGGCGATTGGTTAGTTACCGGTCATATGTTGGTACTCTGCTGGGGTCCTCTACATATCCTGACAGCAGCACATGGATGCACTCTACCAGGTGGAGAGGTTTCTTCAGACGCTGCCAACACGGATCCTGTGAGACACATAGCCACAGTCTTTTTATGTGTACGGAACCTTTCCTTATTAATCAAATAATGCCCAAGTTAAACAGGTGCAAAATCTGAATTCATAATAACCCTTTATTATTGAGGGCATCTTAATCCATTTGTATCCCATACCTGCCAACAATAATTGCCCCTCCGGGATGAAAAGGTTATTTAATTTAATTGAGAGATATACCCGTGTCTTGAAGAGTTGGTCGTAGACCTCCAGCAGACGGGGCAGCTGTACTCCTATCTCCTGCATGGTGAAGGTGACAAAGCCCACGTCCCAGTTCAGACGACACACCTCCTGCTCCAAAAACTTAACGAGAAATTCTGGAGACACAAGACAGTGGAAAATTGCAATCAGTACTGTACATTAAAACAATTTGCCCGTGCAACAGATCTCTGTAGTTCAATGGTCGTAGAGAAACTAGGACAGGCCACGGCGTTGGTGGATAATTAAGCAATTACAGATTCAACATCCAGACCCAATAGACATAACACCTTAGAGACATACATGTTGACATAATGAACTGCTAATGTAATTACACGAAGTATGGATGTCTTACATAGAGGAAAATCAGTAGAGAAATAATTGGCAGAATAAATGAAAGTAGGCCTGTGGTTTTACCTAGTGGAAAGTATCTGGGTGTTCCTGCGTAGATCTTTCCCAGAGACACCAGTTTGAGACTCAGAGCTCTCATTCTGTCGGCTGGACTCATGGCCACACCGTCACCCAGCTCTGGAATAAAGTCAAAATGACAGCTACTTAAAGGCATACTGCGGGATTTTGAGATTTCGGTTGTTTATCTACTTACCCAGAGCTAGACAAACTCATGGATACCATTTTTATGTTTGAGTGCAGTTTGGAGATTATTGAAGCTAGCATATTGTTAGTTTAGCGCAATTGTGTGAAGTCTCCCGGTACATTTTTTACATTTTACATTTTACATTTTAGTCATTTAGCAGACGCTCTTATCCAGAGCGACTTACAGTTAGTGAATACATTTTTTATTTTTATACTGGCCCCCCGTGGGAATCGAACCCACAACCCTGGCGTTGCAAACACCATGCTCTATCAACTGAGCTACATCCCTGCCGGCCATTCCCTCCCCTACCCTGGACGACGCTGGGCCAATTGTGCGCCGCCCATGAGTCTCCCGGTCGCGGCCGGCGGCGACAGAGCCTGGATACGAACCAGGATCTCTAGTGGCACAGTTAGCACTGCGATGCAGTGCCTTAGACCACTGCGCCACTCAGGAGTACAATAGACCTAACTCCTCCGAAACTGGGTGGTTGGTCATTAATAGTGTTAAAGCTATACATAGTAATCAATCTTTTACAAAATGTGTTAATTTCTCTGATAATTATAAAAAACGATATTCTATCCACTTCCTTATTCTTTCCCTAATGTCGCATAGAGATCGCAACGTTGTATCTGTCCCATTATGGCGCCTGAGCACACGGGCAGCACCATTGAGAGATACAACGTTGCAATCTCTATACATCTCTATTAGAGCAAAGCGTCAGAGACAAACGCGTTGGATAACTTTAGGTGCATTTGTCTGTACACACCTTTCTCCATGATCTCCTGCCACAGAGAGTGCACCAGGATGGGGTCAGAGTGACCAGCACAATGGATGATGGCCAATTTGCATTCAGACAACCGGAAGTGATCTGCAAACTCCCCATACAACTAGATAGGAAGAAAAAGGACAGGGGTATTAAAACATTTACTCTAAGGGAGGAAAATGTATTACCAAACAGAACTATTGGAGTGAGGGGTAATGTTAGATATTCATGCACCGTTACCTTGGTGATGTCCATAAGCTCGGAATCCAGTTGTGACATGGCTCCCTGTACAGAGGGATGCTGGGAGTACCGTCTACTCAGAGTCTCCTGGATCTGGACCTGAATACGCACCACCTTGGAATCAGGACAAACAATATCAGCTTGAGTTGACAGAGCCCAAATCTAAACCTTATCAAAGGGGCCAAAACCTAAAAACCTAATAATTCAGTGAGTAGTTATTTCCTCTCCCCGTACCTCCATCTTCTCCTCCAGCTCATGCAGAAACTCCCCCTCAGCTCCTTGAGCAGAGATGCAGGAGGAGCTCTTGGCTGACAGGATGGCCCTGGAGATGTACTCCAGCCTCTGCTTCAGGGAGATCTCAGTACTGCACACGCACACAGAAAGACACACGTATAATATGTTCATATTTAACATTGCTCAGAATCAACATGAACGAGGACATTTTCATACGTCAGTGTTAGCGCCATGCTCTGCCACTGAGCCACACAGGACCAGTGTGTAAATGGCTCATCAAGACTCGGGGGCTGTTAGGTCTTACCTGTGCATGTCAGCGAGCCTGGCCAGGACATGAGCTGCCTTGCCAAAGCTACGGCTCTTCTCATAGTATCTCCACAGCAGGTCCATGTTCCGCACCTTACTCTGGTCCTGCTTGATCATGTGCATCAGGTGTTCCTCCAGGTACGGAGAGTTCACCTGGATAGAGGACAGAGAGGGAGGATAATAAACCACAATGAAAGACCAGTTAAATGCAATATACTATAAAGAACAAGGCATCTCAGGCCGTGACTGTGGGACAATGCTAGAAGGTTCTTACCTCCAGAAGCTTGTCGGTGAGGTCAGCCTGTATCAGCCAATTGTAGAGGGCTATGTGGAAGAGTTCATCCTGTGACCTCTGGGCCAGACCAATGACCTGCTCAAACTACCAGGGAGAAAGAGAAGAACATCACGAGACAGCTCATTCATAGCATGAATTAATTATTTAACATAAAATAATTATTGTATTATTCCTATTGCTGGCAACATTCTCCTCCCCGCAGCACTCACATGGGCGGTGGCGTCCTCATTACTCAACATGTTGGGGTCAGAGGTCATAACAGGGGGTCCTGGCTGCTTAGGGACACTGGGAGACTGAGGAGCAGCTTTACTCTGGTTCACCAGCTCCTGCATGGTATCTGTGATGCACTTATAACATGACAACCTACAGGAGGAGAGGAGGGGGTGGTCAGTCAATGTCAACACAAGGGAGAAATAAAAGGGCCAGGACGTCCCTTAGCAGATATCCACCGCAGTCTCATGATCAATGTGAACAGGTAGTTGGTTAGTTACCTCTCCTGGAAGGCCAGTGCTCCAGCATGGTCCTCCTCTGGCTCTCCGTTCTTATAGAAGTGAGGTCCCAGCTTCTGAGGATCCTTCTTATCCGCTGCAGTCAGGCACAGCTCCAGCACCCCCTCATAAAAACGCACTGAGAGAAAGGAGAGGAGAGAAACACCCTTAGCATCCCATCCACGCTAAGCATGAAGAGTCAGGGACATTTCAAATAGTATTAGTGTGATGGGCAGGTGTGTGTGTGTGGAGCCTTACCCTGTCGGTACTGGGAGCAGACCAGTGGCAGGTCTGTGTGCTGGCTGATCAGCTGGTAGAGCTGTAGTGACTCTCTCAGTGTTCTTTCCTTATCTGTCTTAGTCTGGATCTGTCTGGAGCCCTGCAGCAACTCATTAGCCTGGGAGGGACAGAGGGAGGGGAGATTTTGTTCTCAGATACAGTTATAAAAGGATAAAGAAGACAGAGGAGGCAACAGTGGATGCTATTCAAACTTTGCCCAGGGACTGCAGATGAGAATGAACTTCGTAGCCAAAATCTGATGGACATCTTCCCTGTCATATAGACAACTAAAAACACTGTGTTTGTAGACTACCTTTGAGCAGACGCTGTCGTCGCTGCTGTACAGCAAAGGGCAGATGTCTCTAAGGTGGTTGCTTATGGCATCTACAGAGGCAGAGTCTTTGATGTAGACGTTGATGAGGGCTGTGATCAGAGCTCCGGTCAGCTCTCGACCCCGGATCACCACGTCCTTAAAACTCGCCCCCTTCATCTGGTCCTGGAACTCCTATTACACAAGTCAAACACGGGTTATAAACAGGATACAAGGGAGACGTCTTTACAAAAGACTTCAGAAATATACACCCTCCTCTGTATTTATTTGGACAGTGAAGCTAAAACATAGAAATGTGTCTCTATAATCCAGCATTTAGGATTTGAGATCAAATGTTTCATATGAGGCGACAGTACAAAATGTCACCTTTTATTTGAGGGGATTTTCATACATATTTTCATGAATGCACTTTATTAATTTTTTTCCTAAGAAGTATTTGGAAAAAATGCACTTAGAGTATTAAAGTATACTGAACAAAAATAAACGCAACATTTAACAATTGCAACGATTTTACTCAGTTACAGTTCATAAAGGAAATCAGTCAATTTAAATAAATTCATTAGGCCCTAATCTATGGATTTCACATGACTGGGCATAGGCCCACCCACTTGGAAGCCAGGCCCACCCACTAGGGAGCCAGGCCCAGCCAATCAGAATTATTTTTCCACACAAAAGGGCTTTATTACAGACAGAAATACTCCTCATTTTTATCAGCTGTCCGGTGGCTGGTCTCAGACAATCCCGCAGATGAAGAAGCCGGATGTGGAGGTCCTGGGCTGGCGTGGTTACACGTGGTCTACAGTTGTGAAGCCGGTTGGAAGTACAGCCAAATTCTCTAAAACAACGTTGTAGGCGGCTTATGGTAGATAAATGAACATTCAATTCTCTGGCAACAGCTCTGGTGGACATTCCTGCTGTCAGCATGCCAATTGCCCGCTCTCTCAAACTTGAGACATCTGTGGCATTGTTTTGTGTGACAAAACTGCACATTTTAGAGTGGCCTTTTATTGTCCCCACCACAAGGTGCACCTGTGTAATGATCATGCTGTTTAATCAGCTTCTTGATATGCCACACCTGTCAGGTGGATGGTTTATCTTGGCAAATGATAAATGCTCACTAACAGGGATGTTAACACATTTGTGCACAAAATTTGAGAGAAATAAGGTTTTTGTGCATATGGAACATTTCTGGGATATTTTATTTCAGCTCATGAAACATGGGACCAACACTTTACATGTTGCGTTTATATTTTGTTCAGTATAGTTACAAGTTTAGTATTTGGTCCCATATTCCTTGACTACATCAAGCTTGTGACTCTACAAACTTGTTGGATGCATTTGCAGTTCGTTTTGGTTGCATTTCGGATTATGGTTGTGCCCAATACAAATTAATGATAAATAATGTATTGTCATTTTGGAGTCACTTTCATTGTAAATAATAATAGAAGATGTTTCTGAACACTTCTACATGAATGTGGATGCTACCATGATTATGGATAATCATGAATGAATCATGACTAATGATGAATGAGAAAGTTAGAGGAACAAAGATCATACCCCACCAAAACGCTAACCTCTCACCATTACCAATAATAGGGAAAGTTAGCATTTTGGGGGGGGACTAGATACATAAAGTGCTTTCATTTGTAAACGGTAAAACAGATATGTATTAAAATACCCTCAAATGAAAGGTGACATTCTGTACGTACTGCCGCCTCATTTGAAACATTTTCTCTCAAATCCAAAATGCTGGAGAATAGAGCAAAATTTACACATTTTAGCTTCACTGTCCAAATAAATACGGAGGGGAGTGTGTGTTGGATGATTAACCAATTAGATTAATTAGTCTGACTGACAGCAGTCCTAACGGAGAATGGACTAGGCTTAATCTGTGTCCGGGAAACCAGTACCAAGTGAGGTCATGGATCTGGAGCTCACCATGGGTAGTTCAGAGATGATGAGGCTGAACTGGTGGTCACACAGCAGCTTCCACAGGGCCAGGGTCTGACAGGAGCGATGCACCAGCTGTTGGATACCCTGAAGGGACATCTTCTCATAAGCCTGAGCCTCGGCTGGGGACGGGGGAGAGAGAAAGATTAGTAACGGTCACAGAGACCACAAAATTCAAGAATAGTGTGTTCTCATTGGTGTTAGGATTCTACTCCGATAATGCGGTCATTCTCATTGCTCCTTGATTTGGATGGCAGTTTAATTAACATCCACAAATTACGTACTGTGGTACTTCCTCTGGAGCTCCTGCTGGACCTGCTGAGAACTGGCTCCTCCATCAGGCCGCATGAAACCCAACAGCCGCTGCTGCAGATTGGCTGGAGAGCTGAAACTGCAGATGGGTGGAGTTCAACATGCAAATCAAATCCAACAGTATTTATTTAACCAGATGACCATAGAAGTGTGGATATATAGTACCTCCCATAAAGCAGCCAGCCCAGGTCTTGGCCATGGGGAGATGCAGGGCCCAAGGGTCTGTCTTACCTGGCTGACCCCAGAGATGAGGGACTGAACTGGGAGTTCTTATCCAGGAAGTCCTTCAGACCACGAAGCTCCAGAAGAACTAACTCCAGATCAGATGAGCTGGCTGTGCTCTCCAACTGGGGGAGAGAGAGTGAAAGAGAGAGTGATCATCCTCATCATCAAATTTACTCGCAAAGGAAGACTGTAATATGCTGTTAATGTGATACTCACAATACTGACAGCCTGATTTCCTTTACTGATGGTCTTCTCAACAGCAAGACTCCCATCCCAGATATTACTGTTAATCAATAATGTTCACAAGTTAGTGAAGTCACTATAGCCATGCTATAAGTGAAACATATGAATAATGTCTCTCAGTCCAGTACAAAGTAAAAAAACGGCATTTCCCAAGTATGGAGGTGAGGCCTGAGTAAAGTACGCTATCCAGGGGAGGTGACTGACCCCAGTATGCGTGTGAAGTAGACACTGATGCCATTGTGTTTCCCTGAGAAGACCACCTCTGGCCCAGAGGACATGCCAGTGATGGGGGCGGAGGACATGGGCGTGGTGGGTATATAGGGCGTAGACACACTCTGGGGCATCATACCTGAGAGATTGTTGTCAAGGCAGACACACTGACATTAAACACTCGAATGTTGCCAATATTCAGTGGGTGAATGTGTTGAGTACTGTTGACGGCAAGGCACTCTGCAAACATATTAAAAATAAAAAGGAGGACTGTGTACCTGGAGCAGGCGTAGCTAAGAAACTAGGGTTAGGCATGGGACTGCTACCAACAGGCATAGGGGATCCTAAAACAACAGGAAGGGAGTAAGACAAGTGATGCAGACAGACAACTTCTCATTCACGCGCAGGCTAATTGCAATGCACGCCGTCCAACTTATACAAGGAATTTCGACTAGGACATTATTGCCATTGGCATGCTACAACGAATGGGAATGGGAATTTGGCTTCAAGCAGAAATCCTTCCTCAGATGCCCCTCACCTGGTACAGGAGAGCCGAACAGCGCGCCAACGTTGCTAGGAGCAGAATGAGCCGAGGCGAACCTCATCTGAGCCTCTCCTCCATACCTAAAGAAGGCTCTGGAGGCCCACTGAGACACTTCTCTGTCGCAGGCAGCACTGGAGCAGGCCAGAATCAGAGCAGTGGCACACGCCTGCTCCTCCTGAGGGGAAGAGGAGAGGGTTAGATCAACAAACAGAGAAATAAAGAGAGCGTGTGTGTAGTGGTGCTTGCACTAACAAGACAATGAGGAATGAGAGATTCCTACCCTGTGCAGTTTGAAGAAGCGTTCGATTTCTTCACTCTCTCCACCAGTACCGCTCACCAATAGGTGGCGTAGCTGGTCCACCGGCCGCAACTTGTGGAAGATGTGACTTCCCTGGGGGACCATGAATAACAACCCATTTATAGATGTTTGTTCACAAAACTACAGACAGGACTGAACACGTTTAATTGACTGTGTGAATGTACAGTGCCATTCACGCAGTACAAACGAAGCCGTAAAATCTCGACTGTACCTTAGCAGAGAGAAGGACAAACTTCTGTGGAGGAACATTGTGTTGCTGCACCACGACAGGAGAGTCAGTGAGGGGAACCTGATCCTTATTCAGGGGGGTAGAGATTTTAGGTGCTTTCTCCTCCTCGATGGCACAAAGTGCCCAGGAGTGGCCATCTACATTGGACATCATCTGCAATGATATACAGACAATATGAGCTACAATATTCTTTGAAGTCAAACAAATACTACATTTAAAGAAATCTAAATCGTAGCATTTGCAAAGTAAGCTGGGTTGACAGGACATCGTAGATCGGGTTTTATATTTCTAATTAACTATTATTTTTTTAAACATTTTTTTTACATTTTTGGTCATTTAGCAGACGCTCTTATCCAGAGCGACTTACAGTTAGTGAATACATATGTATTTATTTTTTATACTGGCCCCCCGTGGGAATCGAACCCACAAACGCCATGCTCTATCAACTGAGCTACATCCCTGCCGGCCATTCCCTCCCCTACCCTGGACGGCGCTGGGCCAATTGTGCGCCGCCCATGAGTCTCCCGGTCGCGGCCGGCTGCGACAGAGCCTGGATTCGAACCAGGATCTCTAGTGGCACAGTTAGCACTGCGATGCAGTGCCTTAGACCACTGCGCCACTCAGGACCCCAACTATGACCCTAACTCCGTCAGCTCCCACCTGAGCCTCCATCAGGGGTTTCTTAAAGGGGAAGGAGTCATGGTTGATACACCACAGGATGTCACTGTCCTCCGTCTCAGACGCTGCCATCAGGAGAACTCCTGTAGGGATCAACACCAGAGACACATGAGTAAACCTTTAACCTATAGGGTGATGCTAGGAGGACCCATTATAACAGGATAGCGTTTAGACTGCAGAGTGGCTTTACCTTTGCTGTGCAGAGCCTTGTGGACCTTGGCAGGCTTCTGCAGGGTGGAGGAGGCAGAGAAGCCTGGAGGCAGGCGGACATGGACCAGAGCTAGCAGACTAGGGCGTGCCGCTGGGTGCTTGGCATGTGGTGGGGCAAAGGGAGTGGTGCTGAAGTAGAGACGCACTCCTACAAGCAGAGATGGAGAGCTACAGTAAGGTCTTTGAGGTCTTCGTAGATAGTTATTCTGTAATGAAAATAATGTCAGTATGACCTTTATTTCCTCTCCCATGTCAGTCCGTCTCCTTACCTGCATGAGTGACAGCCAGCAGGTGGCAGTCAGACGACTCCGATCTGTCTATCACAGAGATCTGTACGATGGGTTTAAACACAGAGCGATCTATGGTCCTATAGAGAGCGATATAAAATAAAGAGATTCATTTGAATTGTTCTTAAGCAGTGATGAGCTTTGACCCATTTCAACCATTCACTAGCACTCTGGATTTAACCAGAGGTGAGGAGTAGCTGACAAACCTGGCAACGTTTCCTGCTGCAGCCACGATGGAACTCTGTGACATGGCTGCCACACGGCTCATACCCTGCCCATCCACACCCAGATCATACACCTGGAACAGACAACATCAGCTTTAAACTCAGGGTCCTAATTCAGTGTTTTCCAAACTGGGGGTTACCAGATATGAAAATGGGGTCGCGGGAGAATTTCCAAAATCCAGATATTTTTAAAAAATAAATTACATTTTAAAATATATATCGTCATTGTATCTCAAAATCATTGTAATGTGGTTAACCTTATAAATCTAAATGAAAATTATTTAAATCTAAAAGATACAATTCTACCAGTGCCCTTAGACCGTGGGAAAAGGTGTCATGTGACCGTATGCTGCAGACAAAGCTTTCACGGGTCATTACGGAGGAGCTTTGGTTCCTGACTCAAAGGGAATACACTGCCATCTCCCTCAGAGCGTTAAAACTTTTGGTACCCTACGCCAGCTCAGATCTGTGTGAAGCTGGAATCAGCAGTGCTCTCGTCTGCATTAAAACCAAATATCGATCCAGGTTGGATGTGACAGCAGACATGAGGTGTGCACTGTTAACCACACCCCCTGACTTTGAGAAGCTCCGACGCGACATGCATCAAGCACACCCATCTCATCAGTGGTGATGAGATATGAGACATTATGTCAGACCAATTTGCAATTGACTGCAACAGTCTCAAATAAAAAAGTAAACATTGGCTTTTAATTACATAATGTCGTGGACAAAAAATGTTTGGGAACCCGTGTCTTAATTAGTACAACCTTTTCAAATGTCTGAAAAAGTTCTAACCAAAGCAACATCCTATTCCACAAATCCTCACATAAAAACATATGGATATTTACTACAGTGCTACCATTCAAATTGTTAAAATCTTATGGGTTGTGTACCTGTAGAACCCCCTTCTCTGAGCGGGTGAAGAGTGTGTTACGGGAGTTGTCAATGGCAATCTGCACAACCGGGTCTGTGGAGCACAAAGATAGAAAAGTTATGTCAAATTCAATTCAAGAACTAGAGCATAAGAAAGTTCCAATTCCACAAGGAGCCTCTGAACTATCCTTACCGTCCTCAGAGAAGGAGAACTGGAGCAGAGAGGGGACGAGGAAGGACAGGCTGCTTTTGGAATGGTTAATCTTCTTACAGCGTTGACTGAACCAGCCTGCCTCGGCCTGGTAGGCTACCTCATACAGGCAGCCATCTTTCCCTGCCAGGAAGATGCGGCCCAGGTCAGTGGAGGTGATGGCCAGGAGGTAGGTGTTGTCTGTGGGGATGGAGTACAGCGGGTCTGGGAGCAACTGCATCCCTCCAGACATGCTGTCATTCAACCCTGATAAAGAGAGGAATAGAGGAAAGAAAGAGAGAAGTTGAGAGAGAGAAGATCGATTTCTGAAGTAGCCCATGGTGGGTTAAAGACGTCCTCCAGTGATTTTTTTAACTTTTCCTGTTGAAAAGTGATATCCCAAGTATAAAACCAGTTAAGTACGCACCCACACTAAAGGGTTAAAAATATATATGTTTTTGGGGGGGGTTTTAGGCAACTGCAAATTTCAAGGAGTAGGGCACTCAAGGAGTTGGACTGATGGTGACTGATGTCATCGGCCTCCCCTCTTGCTTGAGGAGCAATAGAGAACAAAAAAGGAAAAGCCCACCACCCCCCACTTGTGCCATGTCATCAGGATACCCGGACCACCTATTGAGATGTGCCTTTTGTTAAAGGGATACTTCGGAATTTTGGCAATGAGGAGTTTTATCTACTTCCCGAGAGTCAAATGAACGCGTGGATACCATTTTTATGTCTCTCTGGCAAGTATGAATGAAGTTAGAGGTAGTTTCGCGAGCCAATGCTAACTAGCATTAGCGCAATGACTGGAAGTCTATGGGTATCTGCAAGCATGCTTAGTTAGCAATTGCGCTAGAGCTAGTTAGCAACTTCCTTGAAACTGCACGCAGAGACAAAAATGGTGTCCACAAGTTCATCTGACTCTGGGGAAGTAGATAAAGGGCATCATTGCCAAAGTCCCAAAGTATCCCGTTAAGTAAATCAGGTGTTAAATGATGTGAAAAGGAGACTGGAGTAGGAATTCAATACAAATACCAACAACACAATCATGTCAATCTAAACCAAATCAAACAATTTCCAAACTGTATGCCAAATTGATGACACCAGGGGTGTGTGTGTCTGGTGTGTGCTTCAAGTCTAGGAGGATCATCATTACTCACCTGCCTGAGCTTTAGGGAAGCTGAGCCCCAGGATCACTACATCCACAGGAGTGGCTAGGACCAACAGGAAGTGGATGTGTGGCTGGAAAATCCCTGTGGAAAAAATTGGATCCTGTGGCTTAAGTTAAAAAGGTCCAATGCAGCCGTTTTTATCTCAATATCAAATGATTTCTGGGTAACAATTAAGTACCTTACACTGACTTTTGACCATTTAAATTGAAAACAAGACACAAAAATAGCTTCTTAGCAAAGAGCAATTTCTCAAGGAAGAATTTTGCTAGGACTGTCTGGGAGTGGTCTGAGTGAAGAGGGGAAAACTAGCTGTTTTTGGCAGAGGTTTGGAACACTTTCTTATTGGTCTATTAACTAATTTACAGCCTGGTGGTGTCACCAGGCAGGCAAAAACACTATTCCATAACAGGTTGAAATATCAGGGATATTTTTCAAACTGCTCTTACACTAATAGGGCATTATCATCCTTTTCACAATTTCACAGAAATATTCCAGCCTGTGTGGAAATAGTTTATTAGGTACACCACCCTGTTCACGAAAATGGATCGATCCTACAGACAGTGAGTCACTTGGCCATGGCTTGCTATATAAAGCAGGCAGACAGGGATCCAGTTACTGTTTGATTGAACGTTAGAATGGGCAAAACGAGTGACCTAAGTGACTTTGAGCGTGGTATGATCGTCGGTGACAGGCGTGCCGGATCCAGTATCTCAGAAACGGCCACCCTTCTGGGCTTTTCACGCATAACAGTGTCTAGGGTTCACCGAGAATAGCGCAACAAACAAATAACATCCAATCTGCGGCAGTCCTGTGGGTGAAAACAGCTTGTTGATGAGAGAGGTCTAAGTAAAATGGCACGAAGCGTGCCAGCTAACAGGCAGGCCACAAACAGACAAATAACGACGCAGTACAACAGTGGTGTGCAGAACGGCATCTCGGAACGCACAACTTGTTGATCCTTGTCACGGATGGGTTATTGCAGCAGACGACCACACCATGTTCCACTCCTATAAGCTAAAAACAAGAAGAAGCGGCTCCAGTGGGCACGCGATCACCAACACTGGACAATTGAGGAGTGGAAAAACATTGCCTGGTCCGACGAATGCTGTTGCGTCATGCTGATGGCAGAATCAGGATTTGGCGCAAGCAGCATGAGTCCATGGACCCATCCTGCCTGGTGTCATTGGTACATGCTGGTGGCGGTGGTGGTGTACTGGTGTGTGGAATGTTTTCCTGGCACACGTTAGATCCCTTGATACCAATTGAGCAACTAACTTTTCCGACACCTTGTAGAATCCATGCCCCGAAGAATTCAGATTTATGGAGGGAAAGGGGGGTCCGACCCAGTACTAGATGGGTGTACCTAATAAACTGTCCGGTGGGTAGGTGGATATATAACACAGGAAAATCACATTTTTGACAGCACTGGGCCTTTAACCCAAACACCTACAGGGCTGTTGTAACTTTTAATATAGGAAACACTGCTCAGGCAAACGAGTGTTGCCATTTCACCTGCTTTAGGTTTGACCAGCCCCACGGACAGGATGGTTTCACTGAGCCCGTCAAAATATGCAACGTCCCCCCTGTGGAACAAAGTGATGACAGCGTCAGTAAAAATGGGTCCATGTTTACTGCTCCTGCAATGTTTTTCTAAGAACAAAATGAGTATAAAGTGACTTAATTTATGAGTGCTTGGTACTCACCCATCCTCATAATTCCACATGAAGATATCGTTGTCAATAGTGAGCCATGCCCGACAGATTTCAGGAAAAACTCCCATCATACAATTGCACTGCATATCTGTTAGGGGAAGGTTAAGGGCTAGGCAACTTTTCTGAAGTGGTGGTTAGTTTTACACAGTTCACATAATCCTGCACAGGCACTTCTGAGTTCTATGAGTGAGACCTGGACACAGCTCCCTCTGTGTATTCTCTTAAAAGGATACGGCTGAATTGCTCCACCAGCTCAGGGGGTAGGGGAATCCTTCGGACTGCACTGAGCTCAGGGAGGTTTGGCACACTGATCAGCCCAGGTCCCTGAAGAGGGTAGTCCATGTCTGACCCCCCAGACAAAGATGGCATGTCTGCAATACAGAGTGGGAAAATCCCCTTGGTAAGTGGCCTAAGCCCTGAGATGTGGCTGTAGTCTCCCTAGACACAGTAAGTAGGCTACAGCCAAAATATCAGGGCTAAAGTGTCCTGTGAGATTAATTGATTCGTCAAACTTCAACAACATACAACCTTGCACCGCCGATTACTTGACTTACTGTGAGAGGGGACATTAAGAAGCTCTGAGAGGTCAGGGAAGCAGCGGTCATCCTGAAGGTGTCTGTCTATTAGCCGGCCGGAGCTCTCCAGCGCTTCGGTAAGGGCAGCAGCAGGACTGCTGGGTCCCAAGGCAGACCGCATGTTTAACACTGTGGGACTGAGATTCGCCTGAGAAGATGGAAAGAACATTTCAGCACCACTGTGACGTCTGCCGTTTCCACAATCCAACCACAAACAAAATCAGGCAGTCACCGCAGGTGCAACTTTACGGACAGACATAATAATAATATGCCATTTAGCAGACGCTTTTATCCAAAGCGATTTACAGTCATGCGTGCATACATTTTTTTTTTTTGTGTATGGGTGGTCCCGGGGATCGAACCCACTACCTTGGCGTTACAAGCGCCGTGCTCTACCAGCTGAGCTACAGAGGACCACACAGACATGTCCCCTACCTTGCAAACTATATGACAGCTGAAAGGCAGTAGGGATATTGACTAAGTTGATTATTTGGCAAACACAGAGAGTAGCCAACGAGCAAGCCCCATTTAGCCTGTCCAACCCCGTCTCCACGTTAAGGAATGACTCTGTAGCTAGTTAACGTTGGCGTGCTAACGTTAGCTAACTAACACAATAACACCACTTTTCTGTTTATTAAAAGAAGGCTGTTGGAAGTGATACAAGTACGTGTGGTGACTAACTTGTGAAAACTGGGAAACTGAATGAATTAGCTATCTAAACTAGTTACATAGTAGGTTAACCGCCAAGATAATAGCACATATCGCTAACGCTAAAAACGCGGCCTATTCACTGTATTCTAGCTGCGAGCTAACGCTAGCTAGGTAGCGAACGTTAAGTGAGATTTATTGAATAACGTTAGCTACTTTTTTTACTCGCAACAACATATAATCTTACCCTACAGAAAGCAGTCCGGACGTAATTAATTGTTTACACAATGTGTGATAAGCAAAATATTCTACAGCCTTCAGTGTAAACAAATGTTGCCGCTAGCCCGCCAGCCTCATGACACTTTGAAAAGGGTGAAAGGTTATATGATGTACTTCCGGTGTAATTTCAATATGCTTTACATGTGAATTTCTACATGCTCTTTACACGAATGGTATATGGAAAAGTGTTGCACTTTTCATAGCCTTTCGTTCCCCAGACCAAAACGACTCTGACCTTAATTTTTGTTTTCAGTCGATAGAATCTGTTCTTGTAGAATAACGGACACTGTAATGTCATTTTCTGTCCACTAAGAAGCGCCAGAGTCTTAGCTATAGTTTTGTACATGGTACATACCAGTTGAAGTACTCCCAGCAGGACCTTGTTTAAGGCTGAAACCAAAAGAGCAGCCATCTGACAGATTTGTTGGGACAGGCAACAAACTTTCTTTACGGCACAGAACCATATATTTATATTTCTCTGAATAGTCATTTTCTCATGTGGATCGTCTCTCTCATGTTTATAGAGTACACAATCCAGTTCATTACAGAAACTGTCAGTGGCATTCAGAAACACAAGATACCAGAGGGATTCGCCCCTGCAACTGAGTTGATGAGCGATGGATTTGAGTTCTCCCGAGTTGCAGACAACTAGGTAATCAAACACGGTGGACTACTAAACTACCACAATAAACCCAAGACAAAATTGACCATATTACAATTATACTACTAGGGAAACAAAATACTATCGCCCTTTCCATCATCCTGGACCTTCCACGTCTTAAATCAAAAACAGAAGGAAAAAAAAGTACAAAAATGACAAACAAATGACAAGTTGACAACAGATACTGCATGGTGGCGCAACATCCCCATGAAAAAAATAAAATAAATTCAAACGCAAACGAGACAAGTAACAAAGAGAAGTACAAAATTTATTGCAGTATTTGCTCCGCCAGAAGTGCTGGCGATTCCTTTTCGCTCTCTTGGGTGACCTAATACATCAAAATCTAAATTTACAAAAAACTCCCCTGCATGTAGGCCACATATACTGCATGCTTCGCTTTCAACCGAATAAATTATATCCAAGAGACTCCATTGTACAGCATGGGTAAACAAATAAAGGGAATAAAACAAAGTAAAATGTAAAAGTTTTAAAAATAGCTTCCCTGGAAACTAAGCTAAACTAAAGAAATCCATCCGGTGCTAGGTTAAACTCCAAGAACACTTTATTAAGAACATTAACAGACTAATTTTCAACATTCACTTTGTTTATTTTTTTTAACAGAATTTGTCAGCGATATAAACATTTTTTTGTTGTTAAACTATGATACAGTGGGAAAATCAAACAACCGAGTTGCTGCACAACAGCGAAGGAGCTCCCACACAATGTTTTCCAAACATTTCCTTCTTGTGTTTTTTCTGTTTAACTTAAACATATCCTGGATCCAGATTAAATGTTCATCACAGACCAAAAGTTCACAATACTTGCTCTCTATCTCGTGCTTACGTTTCATGTTTTGCGTGTCTGTAGTATGTTTGTATTTTCTGTATTTGAAAAACGTTGGTTCCTCATAATAAGAGTTTGGCTGCAAATAGTTTGTCTGTGAGAGTAACCATATAGTCGATTAGGAAGTTCCGTCCTTGGCTGAGTACAGTGACCGTAAAGTATGCACCACTCTGTTCGTCAGCTTGTGTGCACTAGTCAAGGCGATTTTCTTGTAAATAATGTCAGATTCCTTGATAGTGTCCACCCAAGGCACAGTTTTGCGTCCGTCCCGTTTCTTAGCCTCAGCCCACACTCCAGAGTAGGAGCCAGCCATCCAGTGCACCCTGTAGCCCGTATTGGTCTTCTGGATGACGCGGGCGATCTGTGGCCGGTCCTTGTACTTGGGGCAGCAGAGGGCGATGACGTCCATGGAACCTAACGTCTCGTTCATGTGACCTGATGCCTCCGCAGAGTCGCCGTGCTTCCTGGATCTTCGTGATGACTGGGGAAAGAAACAGCAGTGTTACAACAGACACAGCATCCCTTTACTACAACACCCAGCTAACTACTGCACACGAGGGCAGTGAGAGTGCAGTGCCTTCAGAAAGTATTCTCACCCCATGACGATTTCCACATTTTGTTGTGTTACAGCCTGAATTTAAAATTGATTAAATTGAGATGTGTTGTCACTGGCCTACACACACACACACAATACCCCATAATGTCAAAGTGAAATGTTTACAAATTCATGAAAAATGTAAAGCTTTAATGTCTTGAGTCATTCAACCCCTTTGTTATGGATAGCCTACATAAGGTCAGGAGTAAAAATTAGCTTAACAAATCACATAAGTTGCATGTAGTGTTTAACATCATTTTTGAATGACTACCTCATCTCTGTAGCCCACACATACAATTATCTGTAAGGTCCCTCAGTCGAGCAGTGAATTTCAAACACAGATTCAACCACAAAGACCAGGGAGTTTTTTTCCCAATGCCTTGCAAAGAAGACCACCTATTGGTAGATGGGTAAAAAATAAAATAAAATGCACATTGAATACCCCTTTGACCATGGTGAAGTTATTAATTACACTTTGGTGGTGTATCAATACACCCAGTCAGGAAGGAAACCGCTCACCATGAGGCCAATGGTGTTACAGTTTAATGCTGTGATAGAAGAAAACTGAGGATGGATCAACATTGTAGTTCCTCCACAATACTAACCTAAATGACAGAGTAAAAAGAAGGAACAGAATAAAAATATTCCAAAAGATGCATCCTGTTCGCAACAAGGCACTAAAGTAACACTGCAAAAAATGTGGCAAAGCAATTCACTTTTTGTCCTGAACACAAAGTATTATGTTTGGGGCAAATCAATACAACACATTACTGAGTGAGTACCACTCTCCATATTTTGAAGCATAGTGGTGGCATCATGTTATGGGTATGCTTGTAATCGTTAAGGACTGGGGAGTTTTTCAGGATACTAAAGAAAAGGAATGGAGCTAAGCAAAGGCAAAATCCTATAGGAAAACCTGGTTCAGTCTGCTTTCCACCAGACACTGGGAGATTAATTCACCTTTCAGCAGGACAATAACCTAAAACACAAGGTCAAATCTACACTGGAGTTGCTTACCAAGAAGATAGTCTATATTTCTGAGTGGCCGAGTTACAGTTTTGACTTAAATCTACTTGAAAATCTATGGCAAGACCTGAAAATGGTTGTCTAGCAATGATCAACAACCAATTTGAGAATATGAAGAATTTTGAAAAGAATAATGGGAAAATGTTGCACAATCCAGGTGTGGAAAGCTCTTAAGAGACTTACCCAGAAAGACTCACAGCTGTAATCACTGCCAAAGGTGCTTTTACAAAGTATTGCATTTTATGTAAATTAGATATCTGTATTTAATTTTCAAGAAATGTGCAAAAATGTCTAAAAACATGTTTTCACTTCGTCATTATGGGGAATTGTGTGTAGATAGGTGAGAAAGAAATGGATGTAATCCATTTTGAATTCAGGCTGTAACAACAAAATGTGGAATAAGTCAAGGAGTATGAATACTTTCTGAAGGCACTGTAGGTTTCAGTAGCCAACATGGCAGTCATCAGTCTTCTAAAAAGTAATTGAACAGGGACAATAACAGCTGCAATAGGCTGCTTGGGGCTCACCCCTGGGGTTCGCTCTTCTCCGTCGCTCTCGTCGTCATCGTCCGTCTCTATAGGAGCCTGGTGGTGGTTCTTGTGGTCCTGGTGGTGGTTCTTGTGGTCCTGGTGGCTGGGCCCTCCCAGCAGTGAAGTGATGGCTTTGTTTCTGGCGTTGGCGCTGGCCGACGCCTCACCTTCCTCATCCTCTTCATCAGGGTCCAAGTGCTCCATCAGTAACTTGAACTGAGAGAGACAAGAATGTTAACCAGTCTACTGCGCTCAGAGACAATGCTACTTCGCCTTACTTCGATCATCAACTAGATTCAGCCGCAGGCAGTTTTTTTTCTTGAGCTGATTGTCGGAGGGCCGGAACATTATGACAAATAATTTGTAGACTGCAAATTGACCGCAAGAAGCCCAAAAAAACAGATATAATGTTTGCAAATTGACTGCAAGAAGACCAAAACAGATAATGTTTGACAAAAACATAATAATTTCAAACCTTGCTTACATTTGTATATGATCACGTGTCTCTCTATTATGCGTGGGAATACTTGGGAACAGATTTCTTAAATTACTTGGAGCTGATTTCCTGGTGTTTTTACAGTCCCTTTTCTGTTGTTGTAATTTATACCCCCTTTTCTCCCCAATTTCATGATTACGATCTTGTTTCATCGTCGCAACTTCCCAACGGGCTCGGGAGATCTGAAGGTCGAGTCTTGCGTCCTCCAAAACATTACCCCCCAAGCCGCGCTTCTTAACACCCGCTCACTTAACCCGGAATCCAGATGCACCAATGTGTCGGAGGAAACACTGTTAAACTGACCACCGAAGTCAGCCTGCAGGCGCCCTGCCCGCCAGAAGGAGTCACTAGAGCGCGATGAGCCAAGTAAAGCCCCCCCGGCCAAACCTTCCCCTAACCCGGACGATGCTGGGCCAATTGTGCGCCGCCCTATGGGACTCCCGGTCACGGCCGATTGTGACACAGCCTAGGATCGAACCCCAGGCTTTAGTGACGCCGCAACACTGCGATGCAGTGCCTTAGACCGCTGCGCCACTCGGGAAGCCGTTTTTACAGTCAAATATGTCCAACAATAATAATAAAAAATAGGAAAAAAATGTGGGGCTCAGAAAACTTTGTGGGCCAAATAAAACCACTCACGGGCCACCAGTTGGGGAACCCTGTCTTACTGCATACACCTTTTACAAACTACAAAAGGAACACCATCTGGCTCAATTCCATTTCAATTCAGTAAATTCAGGAAGTAAACTGAAATTCCAATCCCAATTTTCCTAAACTTCATTACTTCCTTTATAGCACCAAAACAAAACAACTCAAGAGACTTTCAGAAAAAAGGAAATGTGGTCAGTGAGAGTGATCTCTTACATCTAGGTACTGTTTGACGATCCTCCTCTTGATGTCGTAGGTCAGTTCTACGTTGGCCAGGTCAGAAGTTAGGAAGTCCAATGTCTGGCGTGGGCTGAAGTGCACGTGACTCTTCCTGTTAACAGCCTTCTCGTACACCTTGGCCGATTCCGTCGGAGAGTACTTCTGGATTTTACTACAGGGGGCGGATGAAGAGGTTGAGTTTAGGTTATTTCTTCATTAACTGAGAAATTGGCATGACAACATAAAAAGACAGAAGACATATCAGTATCATATTGTGATCTTCCAAGCTCGGTCTCGTCCAGTGAGGCAGTAAGGTGAGATGTTATGTAGTTGTGTTCCTCCTGGCATTGACGTACCTGTCTGAGAAGCCATAGAGGTTCTTTAGGTGCTGCTTGAGAACCAACAGCAGAAGGATACCCTGTGAGGCGTTGGCAAAGTCCAGCAGAGGGATAGGGTTGTCAGGCAGACGTTGCATCACCTTGTCCAAGTCCTCCATCTCCAGGTCAGAGTCAGAGTCTGACTCCACGGGGGCATGGGCCCGGTGTTTGGGCTTCTTGGGCCTGTGGACCACCTCATCGTCCTCGTCACTGCTGTTGGAGCGGCTGCTGTGACGCTCCTCCTCAGAGTTATCCTCCTCCGAGTGGTACTTCCTCTCCTTCGGCTTCTTCTCCCGCCGCCTCGGCTCTTTGAGAAGGGACTGCAGAGAGGACAGAGGAGTGAGTCAGTCATTCACAACCAAACAAAAGCTATTGTTGGGGATTATTATAAGATATACAACCCACTATAGCTTGTATGTCTTTAAAAGTCACATTATAGGTAGTGTTTTTACAAACCAGTGCACGTGTGGCTACGTGTGATCTTGTGTGCATGACCTACCTCCTTAAAGGACTGCAGCAGGTTGCTGCCGGACACAGACAGGGTGATGTCTATGTGGTGCATGATGAACAGGGGCTCCTCCTGGCTCTGGTAGGGGAAACAGGCCAGGTTGTCTGCCATGTACAGGAGCATGTTCACCTCCATCTTCTGCAGGGGGAAAAGTCACAATAACAACCATTACCTTCACCAAACGGATCATTTTGTCTATCTGTTCATTCTGTCTATGTATACTGCTATAATACTGATTCTTCTCAATGTGTATCTAGGGGAAGAAGGGACTCACCGAGCTGTCATCAAACAGGTTGAGCAGTGAGATCAGGAAGGCTCGTCTGTGCTGCCGGTTGGATCGGACCATAGAGAAGAGGTGGGCGCAGAGGGCAGAGGTGGTCTCGTCCTGCCGGTAGCCACGGATCACCGTACCCTTAGCTGACCAGATAGCCTGCTGTACCTGGTAGGACATTTTCATCCCCGCCACGGCCTTCATCTGGACACACACAACCAAACACAATACATTATACATTGATAACATACAGTAGATGATTACACTACCAGCCTGTTGAGAGGCCAGGCCACTCTTCCTACCCTGAGACCAGCCCACAGACAGAAACACTCACATGGATGAAGCCGGTGTACTTCTTATCAATCTCCACCAGCTGCTGGTCAGCCTTGTTCCTCATGGTGGGCTCTGGGTCCGTTCCCATGGCAATCAGGTAGGGCACACACTGAAAAAGAAGATGGGTCAACAGCAGTACAAAACTGTTGCCAACAGTGATACTTTCCTCCATTTTAAATCACACATTTATTTTTTACATGGCCAGAGTTTAAGAATGATTTGTCTGAGAAGAGTAGCCAGCCCAATGGTATACTGTATGGGTTTCTGAGGTGTCATGTACCTGCACAGGATGGATGAGGCCCTGGTTGAGCGTCAGGGCGATGACGTTGAGGGCAAAGTGTCGTACGTTGGACTGTGTGTGGAAGAAGGCCTCCAGCACCTGCTTCAGGTATAGCTGCATGATGGAGCTGCTCATGCCTGACGAGATGTCCCCCATCTCCTTCAGGTCCTCCTGCTTCGACAGCTTCTTCCCTGCAGACGCACAAAGACAAGAACGATTAGGAACCCTGAGCCTGGTTCAGCCGTATGGAAACTAGCCACTAGACATCATGGAGGCATGCCCTAACTAACGCATCCAATATTCTTAGCCTCATTCTAACACTTGAATATATTGCTGTGCTTGTGTGGAGTTCTCTTCTACCTGTATTGATGTGAATAAATGAACTTTTGCTAGGGCACTCTATTTTGAAAGTCACTTTGGATAAGGAAATTGCATATATTAGATTGAATGGACGCAGAGGTGAGACTCACACTGTTGGTCGGCCTCCTGCATGCGAGAATCCTCCTCCTGCAGATATGTCTGCAGGTTCTTCAGCACCTGGATCTTCAGGTTGACAGAGCTCTTCCTGTCCGACAGGATGCCGTTATACAGACTCTTGACATCCTGCATGAACATCAGCCCTGGGTACTGGATGAACTGGAAGCCTGGAGAACGGAGAGAGGGGGATGGGGTGTAAGAGTGGAGGAATATCAGCACAAGCACTGAGGAGCCAGGGGAACAAAAGCCATTGGTGGTGGATGACAGAAGTTTGAAAAGTGTCATTGTTAGAACAACTAGTGGTCTGTGCTAGGGTGAAGTAAGGTTAGCTTTACCTAGACCAATGATGGCCTTGGTCTGAACTTCCTCATCTTCATGCTTGGTGAAGTACAGCAGAAGTTCCATCACTTTGTCCTTTATCACAACCTGAAGGGAAAAAGCAACAGCGATTGACAATACATCAAGTATTCAGGTCTTTAAACATCCCCAACAATACAAACATATATCTCCCTTCTATTTCCTGGCCCTACCTTGCTGGGGCCCTTGAACTCCTCCTGGTCAAAGTCAAAGTGGCGACAGAGCGCCCCCACAGTGAACAGCGAGCGCAGCAAGGCTGGTTTGTTGGCAGCCAGAACAGGGTTGTTGGAATCCTCTGAGTGCTGGGTCTTCAGCTTGGTCAGGGCACCATAGTAACGGTTGAAACAAGCCCAAACAAACTTGTAGTTGTGAGTGACCCTGTTCACCACAGCTCCAAGACAGCTCACACAGTGTTGCACAACCTAAGAAACAAGAGTACAGATAAAAAACCGGTCCTTCACATTTGGTTGGTTCATTCACGGTTATTTTAGTATTGAACCTGGCTACAAGCTGTAGCCTTTACTAGAGATGTACCGTCATGCCGTATTTGATGATGAGCTTCATCAGGTCTTCCTCTATGGTGGTGAGGAAGGTCTCAGAGGGGTGCTCCATCAGAGGGATCACCAGCTCCAGGATCTTGGCCACGTTACAGATCACCATGAAGTCACTCTGGGTCTGGAAACCAGATAAAATGCATATTGATACAGTCAGAGAGAATTCTAATGCGAGACTAAACTTGACCTGTTGGTCATGTTGTTGTTTAAAACTTGTACTGACAATGACCAACCACTAGATGGCCCTAGAGCTCTTTGTAAAAATCAAGTGGCTACTTTTTTGCTTGAACTTTCTTACACCGGTCTCAATGTTTCAACAAATTGAGGAGAGAAGGTTTGCGTGGGTCCTTACGTTGCACTTGGTGGTGAGGTAAGGCTGCATGGTCATGGCATGTTTGACCATCAGCTGGGCTCGATTCTTACTGAACAGGAATAAGGTGGTGATGCAGGACACCAGACGATTAGAGTTCACCCCCTTGTTCTCAATGTCTGAAACACCAACAGAAACACAGATCCTTCCTTCAGTCTCAACTGGACTTTCTTTCTCACAGTCCATGAGAGTTTATCATATCTTAAAAATCAACAGTACATTGATGTGTCAGTTTAAATGGTGACTTGCAAAATCTAAACTGTGAGGGAGCTCCATACCAGCGAGAGACTCTTCGTATTTGAGGATGTGTTCCACTAGATTGTCCACCAGCTGAACGCAGGCCTTTCTGGCTGGTTTATAGGAAGCATCTTCCTCCGTCTTCAGCAGCTAAACACAGTAAGTAAGGGGGAGGTTGTGAGATGAGGCACACAACATAAGTCTTTCTGGAACTCGTTTGCAACAGCTCTCATTAGAGAAAACTGATATGAACAAGTCACAGTAGACGTTTCAAGGACAACCTGGAGTAAACAGCATAACTTTCCGCTGTGCTTAATACTCTCCACGACTACAAATAAATGTGACATCAATGAACCTGAGCCAATGCAAAAAAAGTTATGAATGTGACTCGAGGCCAACTACCACCATGTAACACACTCAGACAACTGGAAATACTCACGTTTTGAAGCAGCTGCTCAAACCAGTCATAACCTGTATCTTTGCATGCAGACACCTAGGAAAAATTATGTCATCAGGCAACCCTCAAATACAGTGACGCCGACTGAGATGTACATTGGAAAGTTATTTGTCAGTTTGATAGTTCAGTGCTCAGCTTTGAGCCCTGGAACTCACCACGTCTGTGATGTTGAGGATCTTGCGGGTCATGGCGTCTTTATCGTGATTGGGTGTAGGGGTGAACCAGAGTTTCTGGAAGGTCTCATTCACAAGTTTCTGAAGAAGAAAGTGGAGCAAACTTAGAAATGTGCACAGAAACGACAGGTAACGTTCTGCAGCCCTGTGAAGTATCCATTCACAAATGAAACTCAGACATTTATTACAGATGCAGACAAACCTTGATGCCCTCCTCGTCATTGACCCTGCGAATCATCTTGACACACATCTCAGTGATCTTGTTGAATGTGGGTTGCTCCAGACAGATGTCTCTCAGGATCTTGATCACCCTCTTCCTCACACTGATACCCGTGTCCTAGAAACAAGAGGGGTGTAAATGAGTACGGATGGGAATGCAACATCCACCATATTTACACATTTTCACTCCAGGGCTACCTCGACATTTTCTGAAATTACTTTACAAGCGATCATAATATATATTATCCAAAATAAATGTAACATTGAATAAATCATATCATATTAACAAAACGACAATCTGAGTTACTTTTGTTGAGTAGAGGAGAAATGATAGCTGTTCATCTGCATTTTGTTTACATTTGAGAAGCCTGCAGTTCTCCAGCAGAGCCCTGGGTGGCAGTGTGGAGAAAATAATATTACCTTAGGTGAACTTTTACACTTGGAATGAACTCTCAGCTAGAGGTGGCAAGTGTCATCTGCCCAGTTCCATTTCTCAGTACTGTGTGTGAGCTGATACCTTCTCATGTTCCTACAGCCCATAGAAAGGGCTCTGAGGCATGTTATCCTCTCTAACAGCTTGTTTGAGTAACTCACAGCAGTGTTTAGGGTGTCACGCTGTGACTCCGTATCTGTGCATAAAGATGTGTGATAGCCTGCTTGCTCAGGTGTGTATTATTAGTGTGTGTGTGTTAGTTACCAGTATCCTCTCGATCAGCATGTCGTAGTACTGCTCTGTGAGCTGGGGTCTGCTCAGCACAAAGCGCCCCAGCAGCTCCACTGCAGCCTCGCGTACACTGGTAGAGTTGTCCATCAGACGACCATGGACCCCGCGCTGCATGTCCAACTGATGAGAGGAGAAGAGTGAGGAGACACTTATGTACAGACAAACAGGCTCGGAGTATATATAGGTGGATCAGTTTTAGTGTTGGGTAGAGCAGACTCACCCTGGCTAGAATACTGGGGTCTACAGCCACCACCTCTGACAAACACTTCATGGCTTTAGTTCTGACAGCTATGGCACTCTCCCCCAGCACTCTCAGGATCTGTTTGAGAGGAGCAAGAGGGAACAGGGATCCATTCTTTACAAACCATACACAGAGCACCAAGTTTACCATACGCAGTAATTAAATCAAATCACACTCTTACCTGTGTTAAATAAATATCGAAGCTCTGCGCGAACGGCCTCATAGAGGCCAAATATCTGACAATCAGGCAGGAGTCGTCATAGTCCACAGTGTCAGAGTTCATCCTGTGGGGGAAGAGAGGAACAGAAGAACACATTTGAGAAAAGAGACACAGGCCAACATTGAGGTTGAGGCACATTCACATTTTAGTCATTTAGCAGAAACTCTTATCCAGAGCGACTTATAGGAGCAATTAGGGTTAAGTGCCTTGCTCAAGTGCACATCGACAGGTTTCTCACCTAGTCGGCTCAGGGATTTGAACCAGCAATCTTTCGGTTACTGTCCCAACACTCTTAACCGCTAGGCTACCCTGCCGCCCCCATGACAGCATTGTGATGTGTACTGACTGAGTGGGACAGCGTGGGTTGAGTCCTACCTCAGTGTGCTGAACTGCGAGGGCGCGGTCTTGATGATGTTGCGGAGATACTTCTTGCGGGCCTCAGCTCTCTGCATGATCTCTCCGGTGGTCTCGATGTCCTTGGCGTGGTGCTGGCCTTCAGAAGAGTCCTCGTCCCCTCGCTGGTTCTGAGACTTCATGGCCTTGTCTGTCTCTGTCAAAGTGTCCCTGAACCACTGAGCTATGTAGAACTTCCTGGCAAACTGAGGAGTAGCAGCAGAAATCAAGAGTTACACCTCTCATCTGACCCGTAAGTAATTGGCAGTTATTACTACAGTATGTCATTAAACACACTCACAACTAGAGATGGATCCGTCTCTGCGTTCTCATCCATGTAGTCCAACAGGGCTTTCTGCAGCTGCTGGGTCTCATCGTTGCCTTGGGTCTGGGTTGGAAATACAGCAAGAATATTGAGGATGAGGTTGAGCATTGTCATAGTCAAACTAAATGTGGGTCTGTGTTCAGTTTGCTCTGTGTTTGACTGAACATTTACCTCTCTGAGGATGCGGTCAATGGAGCGCTGGTCCATCTGGCTGGTGACTGCGTCTTTACGCAGGCGGGCAGCGACCGTGCCCAGGTAGTCCAGCGATGCCACCCTCAGAGCCATCTCCGTCTGCTTATTACTGAACTGGTGTACCTGGAACAGAGGATCGGGAGAAGAGTGTGTCATTCAGGCTGTTATTTTTTCCCACAACAGCAAAGAACTCACCAGAGTAGGGATGGGCTTTTGAAAGAATGTAACTATTCGAATAATATCAATGTAGAGATGTAGCTAGCTAGCTAATTGAGGCTATAATACGCAGCACTCCCCAAATAACAACAACTCCATTCAGATTCAACAACAGCCTACCTGTTGGTTGTTCGTTGTAGCCCACGCCTTCTCATTTAGCAAATTTTTTATTCCGTCATTTGTATACAATTTTGCTTAGAGATCTCTCACTTCACTTCACTTCACTTGCTACATACACATGGAACCTCTGCTGCTTTGATTGGCCGACAAAAACAAGCAGCTACACGCGTGAAACGTGGGTAGGCTACCGGTATGTCTTTTTTGTGTAGCGCACGTCATAAAAAATACATTTCAAAAGTTTGTTTTATTAAATTAAGAATTTCAAATGTCATGGTACTGTATATCCTTGTATGTAACAATGTCACAGACAATTTAATAACATTTTGACAAAGCCTTTTCATTGTTAAAATAGTCCTATATTATTTTCTTATTTGTATGATTACTCACACGGATAACCGTGCCCATCCCTACACCAGAGGATTCCTATGTGCTTTTATCTCTACTGCTAGTCAATAACTGATTGATTTAGCTAATTATTTGTTTCTATGACGGATGGACTCACCAGTAGACGGCCCAGCAGACTGAGGAGAAGCTCTGAAGCTGGCCACTCTGGTTTGTTCACCGTAGACAGCAGGTCCTGGACAAAGTTCTCAAACAGAGGCCGGTAGTCCTCCTCTCCCTGCTTACTGCCACACCTGAAACACAGACAGAGGGAAGTTTGATCAAAGAGCTTACAGTATCATAACAGATATATTACACCATCTTCTAATAACAGTTACAATCTAGTTTGATTGTGAGAATGAAAGGCTGTTTAGAGAGATCATCTTACTTCTTTAGGAAGACAGACAGGAAGTTCTGAGCTGCTCTCATGGCCGTCTCATAAGAGTTAGTGATCAGGACATCTTGATCCACCTGGGAAAAGAGAGAGTGGTAGTGAACAAACAAAATACGGAAGTCTTTGGCCAAGAATTCTGTGGATTCATCACTAGTCCAGGTAGAACATGGCATCTCTAATGTACCTTCTTATTGTACTCATCGTCGTGACTGTCCCTGTTGTTGGGGAGGTGCACCACACACTGGATGAGCTGCAGCACCAGAGCTGTGACCATCTGGATGTACATGGGCTCCCCATCCTTATCACTGCTGTTCAGCCTAGGGATGCACACATAGACAAAGAAATACAGACAATTCATTTCAGCAGATAAACATGCTGAAAAGAAACAGAAAAGTATTTGAAAAATAAGATCAACTTCCTAACTTTCAAACTATGACATTGCTTGGTCTCTCGTGGCGCATGTTCTCTATAGGTGCAGTTACCTGAAGTTCCTGAGGCTGCGTTTGCTGGTGGGTAGTCTGGCCAGAGAGGTGAAGATCTCTTCCAGGATGAGCTGCCTGTGCTTCTCATAGCGAGAGAACACCTGAGGGAGATCAGGAGAAAAGGCTCATCATCAGAGTCACCTACACACACATTGTAATATTGTTATATTGTAAAGATTATTTTGTACATTTGTCACAATAGAGTAATAATGTATTGTATGATGAATTGTTTTATTTGACATAATTGTTCTAATCCTATTTGGACCCCAGGAAGTGTAGCTGCTGCCTTGGCAGCCGCTAATGGGGATCCTAATAAATACAAATAAATATAAGAGTTACCCTGACATTGCTATACATAATACATACACAATGAAAGGAAATATATTCTAGAGCAAATCCAGACTCCATGGGAAACCTGGTTTGAAGCACCACATCAACAGCAAACCCTGGCACTGCTATATAAGGGCAGTATGTAATGGATGCACAATAAAGGGGACTTTATTCAAAAACAAAGGCAGAACTCAATGGGAACCCTGTTTTTGGATTCTTACCGCAGTCACTAGTTTGATGGCACACAGCTGTAGCTCACTGACACTCTCCACAAAGAATGGAGTGATGCCCATGGAGGAGACCTCAGGTAAGGAGAAAGGGAGAGATGAGTCACAAGGTGAGCAGGGGTCAGAAAAGGTCAGAGGTCAAAGGTGACCCCAGGGATAGCACTAGGAGCGGCGTCTCACCTGTAGGATGGTGGTGTCAGTCAACAGCTGGATCTCCAGGAGCTCAGAGATGTTGCTGACGATGTCACACACCTTGTTGTAGAGCATGATGATCACCCTCTGTTTGTGTGTGGAGCTTTTAGCTCTCTTAGCCCTGGAGCTCAGCAAGCCACCTGGGGGGGAAGAGGAAAGACAATGAGAAAAACAAGGAATGGAGAGCAAAGACCCTCTCCACAGTCAGTCATGGCAGGAAAATGCATAACAGTGGCCCAGGTAGTTGTTCAGAGTGGATCACACTATGTTTATTCTTTACTTTAACCATCTTTCAAATGTTCTGGGTTCTCTGGTCTTGAACAGAGTGTATCAAGACTGTGACTGGTCATTTATATGGCCTATTCTCGCCACATTATGCTATGGCTTTGCGCCAATTGCTTTTGATAGTAAGGTGGGTTTAGGGTGCTGACCTCCATGAGGGTTCACTCTGTAGACAGGGTCATACTGAGGGTAGAGGGTGTTCTGCAGGTGAAACTTGGTGTACTGCAGCACCCTCTCAATCACGTCCTCAATGTACACCGCCTTGGGCATGCGGGACGACGTCATGATGTTGAGGGCCGTCAGACAGGCGTCAGCTGACTTGGTCACGCGCTCCATGATGAGGTCACGCCACAGCCGCTCCTCGTCTTCTGCGTCTGCGTCCTGTTGGACAGAGCGAGAAGACATTCAGACAAGTGGAACTTCTCCATGCTTTTAAAGCCAGGAGGAGACATAATGTGGGTCAGGAAAACCATATGAGAGGACAACTTACATGGTTCATCAGTGTGGAGAGCTTGGAACCGTCCTGAATGTTCTTCTCCAGGATGTTCAGGACCTTCACCAACTTGTCAGATGGAAGCTATGGATGAGACGGATAAGAAAATATATAGCAGAATACCTTCTATCATTTAGGATTGCCAAAAAGACTGACATCACCCTGCATCCAGTGTTCCCTTTTCTTACCCTGAAGGTGATGCCCATGGCCTTGATCTTAGCAGATTCGCTGCCCAGCTCACTCAGCTGGTGTTTTCCCAGCAGAAGCTCCTGTGGGATCTCATCATCATCTGTTGACAAGAGTTGTGGAGTTAGAGTAAGCAGTTCTGTCACCGTCATTTGTCACTGAACATTACTATGGCTGAAATCGAATTACATTTGAAAATAATTCCAACAATCACAAGTTTCTTTCCCATTCTTGGTAGAAATGTATTATAAACACTGACTCAAACCGCTGAGGATAAAAAAACACCTGTAAAGTAGATAATGAATAATTGCATACCCATGGCCTTGAAGTCAATGTCCTCCAAGCTCTCCAGAATGTTGTCCACACTGGCTGAGAACCTCTTGAACGTGGAGGAATCCATCAGTTCTGTTGAGTAAAACACAGAGAAAGTGAGTAACCGGCATTTATGGGACCAAAGTCACACAACAAAGACATACTGAAGTTAGGATGAAATGACCTTCTGGTGTCAGCTTGGGCTCGTATGCCTTCCTCTTCTTCTGTTTCTCCTTCTTCTTCATCTTTCTGGCAACTGGACAGGATAGATACATGTTAGAAAAATACATTGGACAGCAACACTTACCTAGTGAAATATTTACTACAGATTTAAAGATCTTCATTTGACCTACAGTGCTATGAAAAAGGTATTTGCCCAACTTTCTAATTTTCTCTACTTTTGCATATTGTGATACTGAATGTTATCAGATCTTCAAACCAAAACCTAATATTAGATAAAGGGAACATAAGTGAACAAATAACACAACAATTACTATTTTTTCAAAAACAAGTTACCAAGGATTTAAAAACCCAAATGTTCCCTGAGGCAGCAAGAAATCCCAAAACCATCAAAACCCACCAAACGTTTTGACCTTTGGTATGATGTTTTTACTGTGGAGTGTTTGGTTTCACCGGGAAAATGGGCCCCCATCTCGCCCAAAAAGTTTGGACTCAATTTTCCCAAAAAAGCACCTGGATGATCATTAAATTTTTGGAAAGTTCTATGGACAGATGTTTTAAAAAAAATTTTTGGGGCCCTTTTTTTTGGGGGGAAAAAAAAAAACCCCCCTTTTTAAAAAAAAAAGGGGGGGGGGGGGGTTTTGGGGGGCCCTTTTTTGGGGTTTTTTAATTGGGAAAAAGGGAAAAAAAATTTTTTGGAAAAAAAAAGGGGGGGGGGCCCCCCCCCCAAAAATGGGGGGCCAAATTTAAAAAAAAACCAAAAAAAAAACCCCAAAAAAAGGGGGAAAAAATTTTTAAAAAAAACCCCCAAAAATTTCCCAAAGGGGTTTTTTGGGGGGTTTTTTAAAAAAAGGGGAAAAAAACCCCCTTTTTAAACCCCCCCCCAAAAAAAAAAACAAAGGGAAAAAAAAAATTTTTTGGGGGGTTTTTTTGGGGGGGGGGGTTTTGGGGGGGGTTTTTTTTGGGAAAAAAATTTTTTTTTTTTTTTTTTTTTTTTTTTTTTTTTTTTTTTAAAAAAAAAAAAAAAACCCAAAAAAAAAAAAAAGGGGGTAAAAATTTTTTTGGGGGGAAAATTTTTTTAAAAAAAAAAGAAAGAAAAAATTTTTTTTTTGGTTTTGGGAATTTGGGAAAAAATTTTTTTAAATTTTTTTTTTTAAAAAAAAAGGGGGGAAAAAAAAAAAAAAAATTAAAAAAAATTTTAAAAATTTTATTTTCCCCTTTTAATTTTTTCTTTTTAAAAAAAAAAAAAAACCCCCTTTTGGGGGGAGTAAAACCCCAAAATTAGGTTTTGGGGGGGGGGGGGGGTTTTTTTCCCTTTTCCCCGGGTTTGGTTTTTTCCCCCCCCCCCGCCCGCTCCTGGAAGCCCCCCCCCCGGTGGCCCCCCGGCCCTTATCCCCCCTCACAGGCCCCCCTTTTTTCCTCCCTTTTTTCCCCTTCAAAGGGGAAAAAAAGGGGGAAAAAAAAAAGGGTTTTTTAAAAGGGGGGTTTTTTTTAGCCCCCCCAAAAAGGGAAAAGGGTTTAAAAATTTTTAAAAAAAAAAAAAAAAAAGGGTTTTTTTAACCCCCCCCCCGGGGGGGGGGGGGGCCCCCCTTGGGTTTTTTTTCCCCCGGGTTGCGGTGGTTTTTTAATTTTTTCCCCCCCCCCCCGGGGGTTTTAAAAAAAAGGGGGTTTTTTTTAAAAAAAACCCCCAAAAAAGGGAAAACCCCCCTTTTTTTTTTAAAAAAAAAAAAAAAAAAGGGGGAAAAAAAAAAGGGGGTTTTTAAAATTTTAAACCCAAAAAAAAAAATCAAAAATTTTTAAAAAAAAAAAAGGGTTTTTGGGCCAAAGGGGAAAAAAATTTTTTAATTTAAAAAATTTTTTCAAAAAACCCAAAAAAAAAATTTCCAAAAAAAAACCCCCTTTTCCCCCCAAAAAAAGCGATTTTTTAAAAAAATTTTTTTTTTGGGGGGTTTTCCCGGGGGGGTTTTGGGCCCGGGGGGGCCCCCCCCCCCCCTTTTTTTTTCCCCCCCCTTTTTTTTTTTTAAACCCCCCCGGGCCCCTTTTTCCCCCCCCCCCCCCGGGGAACCCGGGCCCCCCCCCCTCCCCCCCAGCCCCCCCCTTTTTCCCCCCCCCCCTTTGGGCCCCAAAAATTTTTAAAAAAAACCCCCCCCCCCAAAAAAAATTTTTTTTTGGTTTTTCCCCCCCCCGGGGGGGGGCCCCCGGGCCCCCCCCCCCTTTTTTTTCTTCCCCCCGGGGGGGGGGGCCCCCCCCCCCCCCCCCTTCCCCCCCCCCCCCCAAGGGGTTTGGGGGGGGCCCCCCCCCTCCGGGCCCGGGGGGCCCCCCGGGGGCCCCCCCCCCCCCTTTTTTTCCCCCCCTTTTTTTCCCCCTTCCCCGGGCCCCCCCCTTTTTCCCCTTTTTGGCCCCTTTTTTCTCCCGGCCCCTTTTTCCCGGGGGGGCCCCCCCCCCCTTTTGGGGGGGGGGTTTTTTTTTTCCCCCCGGGGGGGGGGTCGGGGCCCCCGGGGGGGGGGGGGGGGGTTTTTTTTTTTGGGGGGGGGTCCCTTTTTCCCCCTTTGGGTTTTTGGGGGCCGGGGGCCCCCCCCCCCCCCCGGGGGGTTTTCCCCCGGGGGCCCCCCTTTTTTTTTGGCCGGCCCCTTTTTTTTTCCCCGGGGGGGGTTTTTGGGGCCCCCCCGGGGCCCTTTTTCCCCCCCCTTTCCCCGGCCGGGGGGTTTTGGGGGGGGGTGGGTTTTCCCCCCCCCCCCAAAAAAAAACCCCCCCTTTTGGGCCCTTGGGTTTTTCCCCGGGCCCCCCCGGGGGGGGGGGTTTCCCCCACCCTTTCCCCCCCCCCCCGGGGGCCCCGGTTCCCCCCGGGGGGGGGCCCATTCCCGGTTCCCTTCCCCCGGGGGGGGGGAAAAACCCCCCTTTTAAAAAGGGGGGGCCCCCCCCCCCCCCTTTTTTTAAAAGTTTTCCCTTTTGGGGAAAAAAAAAGGGGAAAAAAAGGCAAACCCCCCTTTTAATTTTTTTCCCCCCTTTTTTTTAAAAAAAAATTTTTTTTAAAAACCCGGGGGTTCCCCCCCAAATTTCCCCAAAACCCCCCAACCCCCCCGGGGGGGGCCCCCCGGGCCTTTTCCCCCCTTTTTTTTCCCCCCCTAACCGGGGGGGGTCTTTTGGGGGGGGGGGTTTTTTCCCCGGGGGGGGGCCCCCCCCCCTTTTAATTAAACCCCCCCAAAAAGGGGGGGGGGGCCCTTTTTTTAAAGGGGGGGGAAAAAGGGGGCCCCTTTTTTCCCCCCCCTTTTTTTAAAAAAGGTTTTTTTTTTGGGGGGGGGGGGGTGGGGGGAAAAAGGGGGAAAAGGGGGGGGGTTTTTCCCCTTTTTCCCCAAAAAAAGGGGGGGTTTTTGGGGGAAAACCCGGGGGGGGGTTTTTGGGGGGGGGGGGGTTTTAAAAAAAGGGGGGAAAATTTTAAAAAATTTTTTTTTTTTTTTTTTTTTTAAAAAAAAATTTTGGGGGGGGGGGGCCCGTTTTAAAAAAAAATTTTTTTTTTTTTTTTTCCCCAAAAAATTTTTAAAAAAATTTTTTTAAAAAAAAAATTTTTTAAAAATTTTTTTTCCCCCCTAATTAAAACCCGGGGAAATTCCAAAAAAAAGTTTTTTTTCCCCCAAAAAAATTTTTTAAAAAATTTTAAAAAAAAACCCCCCCTTTTTTTGGGCCCGGGGCCCCGGAAAAAAGGGGGGGAAAAATGGTTCAATTTCCAAGGGGTTTTCCCCTTCCCTTGGCCCCCCCCAAAAAAAACCCGCCCCAAAAAAGCCCCCCCCCCCCCAAAAAACCCCCAAAAAATTTTTTTTTCTTTCCCCCCCCCCCAAAAACCCCCGGTTTTCCCTTTTTTTCCCCAAAAAACCCCCCCCCTTTTTTTGGGGGGGGGCCCCGGGGGGCCCCCTTTCCCCCAAAAAAACCCCCCCCCCGGGGGCCCCCAAAAACCCCCCCAAAAACCCCCTTTTGGGGGGCCCCCCCCCCCCACCCCCCAAATTTTTAAGGGGGCCCCCAAAACCCCCCCCCCCTTTTTCCCCCCCCCCCCCCCCCAAAAAAACCCCCCCCCCCCTTTTTCCCCCCCCCCCCCCCCCCCCCCCTTTTTTCCCCCACCCCCCTTTTTTTTTTCCCCCCCCCCCCAAAACCCCTTTCCCCGGGGGGGGGGTTTTTTTTTTTTTTGCCCAAAATTTTAAGGAAAAACCCCCCCCGGGGGTTTTTCCCCTTTAATTTTTTTTTTTGATTTTTTTTCCCCCCCTTTTTTTTTTTAAAACCCCTTTTTTAAAAAAAAAAATTTTTTTTAAATTTTTTAATTTTTTTAAAAAAAAAAAAAAAAACCCCCAAACTTTTTTTTTAAAAGGGGGGGTTTTTTTTTTTTCCCCCCCAAAAAAGGGGGGGGGTTTTTTTTTTTTTGGGGTTTTTTTTTTAAAAAGGGAAAAATTTAAAATTTTTTTTTTAAAAAAGGGGTTTTTTTTTTTGGCATTTTAAAAAATTTTTTCCAAAGGGGAAATTTTTTTTTAAAAAAAAAAAAAATAAAATTTTTTTTGGGTTTTTTTGGTTTTTTCCCCCCCTGGGGGAAAAAGGGGGGCCGGGGGGGGGTTTTTAAAATTTCCCCCCCCGGGGCCCGGGCCCAAAAACCCCCCCAAAAAAAAAAACCCCCCCAAAAAAAAAAAAAAACCCCCAAAAAACCCCAAAAAAAAAATTTTTTTTGGTTTTTTAAAAAGTTTTAAATTTTGGGGAAAAAAAAAAAAATTTTTTTTAAAAAAAAAAAAGGGAAAAAAAAAAACTTTTTTTAAAAAAAAAACCAAAAAAAACCCCTTTTTTTTTTTTTTTGGGGGAAAGGGGAAAAAAAAAACAAAACCCAAAAAATTAAAAAACCCAAAAATTTTTTTTTCCCCGGGGAAAAAATTGGGGGGGGGTTTTTTGGGGGGGGGAGGGGCAAAAACAAGGGGCCCCCCGGGTTTTAAAAAATTTTCCCCCGGGGGGGGGGGGCACCAAAAAAGGAAATTTTTTTTAAAAAAACAAGGGGAAAAAATTTTTTTTTTGGGCCTTTTTAACCCAAAACCCTTTTTTTCCCCCTTAATTTTAATTTTTTTTTTCCCCCAAAAAAATTTAAAAAATTTTTGGGGGGGAAAATTTTTTAAAATTTTTTTTGGCCCCTTTTTTTTTTTTTTTCCCCCCCCGGGTTTTTGGGGGGGGCCCCCCCCGGGGGGGGTTTTTGACCCAAAAAAAAAAAAAGGGGAAAAAATTTTTTTTATTTTTTTTTTAAAAAAAAGGGGGGTTTTTTTGGGTTTTTTTTTTTTAAAGGGGGGGGAAAACCCCAAAAAAATTTTTTTTTTGGGGGGGAAAAAGGGGGGGGCCCAAAGGGTTTTTTTGGGGGGGAAAAAGGGCCCCCCCCTTTGGGGGAAAAAAGGGGGGAAAAGAAAAAACCCCCCAAAAAAAAAAAGGAAAATTTTTTTTTTGAAAAATTTTTAACAAATTTTTTTAAAAAAAAAAATTTCATCCCAATTTCCCCCTTTTTTTTTTTAGCCCGGGGGGGGTTTTTTTTTCCCGGGCCCGGGGGAAACCCCCCCCCCCTTTTTGGGGTTTTTGGGGGGTTTCCCCTTTAAAAAAAAAAGGGGGGGGGAAAAAAAAGGGTTTTTTTTTCCCAAAAAAAAAAAAAAAATTAAAGGGGAAAAAAACCCCCCCAAAAAGGGGTTTTTCCCCCCGGGGGAGGGTTTTTCTTGTTTTGGGGGAAAAAAAAAAAATTTAAAATTTTTGGAAAAAGGTTTTTTGGGGGGGTTTTTAAAAAAAAAGAAAAAAGGTTAAAAATTTAAACCGGGGGGCCCCCCAAAAGGAAAAATTTAAACAAAAATTTTTCCCTTTAATTGGGGTTTCCCCGGGGGGGGGGGTACTTTAAAAAACCAATTAAAACCCCTTTTTTTTTGGGTTTTTCCTTTTTTTTAAAAAAAACCTTTTTTTTTTGGGGGGGGAAAAGGGGGGGAAAAAAAAAATTTTCCCAAAAAAAAAATTAACCAAAAAAAAAAAAGTTTTCCCCTTTTTTTAAAGGGGGAAACCCCCATTTTAAAAAAAAAAAACAACCCTTTTTTTTTTTCCAAAAAATTTTTTTTAAAATTTTAAAAAAAACCTTTTCACAAAAAAATTTTTTAAAAACCCCCAAAAAGGGTAAAAAACCCCCGGGTGTTGCAACCCCGGGGCCCCCCAAAAAATTTTTAAAAAAAAAAAAAAAAAAGGTTTTTTTGGTTTTTTTAAAAAAACCCCAAAAAAAATTTTTTTTTTTTAAAAGGGGAAAGAAAAAAAAAAAAAACCCCCAAAAAAAAAAAGAAAAAATTTTAAAAATTTTTTTTAAAAAAGTTTTAATTTTTAAAAAAAAAGGGGGGGGGGGAAACAAAACCCAATTTTTTTTAGGGTTTTTTTTTTAAAAAAAATTTTTCCCTTTTTTTTTTTCCTTTTTTTTTCCCCCCCGGTTTTTTAAATTTTTTCCCCCCCCCTCCCAAATTTTTTTAAATTGGGCCGGGGGCCCCCCGGGGCCCCCCTTTTTTTCCCCCCCCCCAATTTTTTTTTTTTTGGGGGGGTTTGGGGGGTTAAAAATTTTTTTTTTTGGGGTTTTTTTTCCCCCCCGGTTTTTGGGGGCCCCCCTAAAACCCCAAAAAAATTTTTTAAAAACCCCCCCCCCCCCCCCCTTTTTCCCCCCCCCGGGGGTTTTTCCCCCCCCCAAAAATTTGGTTTTTAAATTTAAGGGCCCTTTTTGTTTGGGTTTTCCCTTTTTGGGGGGAAAAAAAAAATTTTTTTTTTTCCCCCGGGCTTTTAGGGGTTTTTGGGTTTTTTAAAAAAACCCTTTTTTCCCCCCCCCAAAAATTGGGGAAAAATTTTTTTTGGGGTTTTTCCCCCCCCCCCCCCCCTTGGGTTTCCCCGGGGTTTTTTGGGGGCCCCTTTTCCCCGGGGGCCCAAAAATTCCCCTTTTAAAAAACCCAAAAAATTTTTTTCCCCCCCCCCCCAAGGTTCCCTTTTTGGGCCCCAAAAGGGGAAAAATTTTTTTTTTGGGGGGGGGGTTTTTTGGGGGGGGAAAAATTTTTTCCCCCCCCCCTTTTTGGGGGGGGGGGTTTTGGGGGGGTTGGCCTTTGGGGTTAAAAAATCCCGTTTTGCCCCCGGGGGGGAAATTTTTTTGGGGGGGGTTTTCCCCCGGGGGGGGTTTTTTTTTTTTTTGGGCCCCTTTTTTTTGGTGGGTTTTTAAAAAAAAAATTTTTTTTTCCAAAAACCCCAAAAAATTTGGTTTTTTAAAAAACCCCCTTTTTTTTTAAAAACCCCCCTTTTTTTTTTTAAAAAAATCCTTTTTTTTTAAAAAAGGGTTTTTTTGGGGTTTTTTTTTTTGGGGGGGAATGTTTAAAAATTTTTTTTTAAAGGGTTTTTTTTAAAAAAAAAAAACCCCCTTTAAAATTTTTCCCCCCTTTTTTTTTAAAAAAAAAAAAGGGGGGAAAAATTTGGGGGGGTCCCTTTTTTCCCCCCAAAAACAAAATTTAAAAGGGGGCCCTTTTTTTTTAAAGTTTTTTTCCCCCCCCTTTTCCCCAAAAAACCCCCAAAAAAAAAAATTTTTTTTAAAAAAAGGGGCCCAAAAAAAAAAAACCCCTTTTTTCCCCAAAAACCGAAAAATTTTTAAAAAAAAACCCCAAAAAAAAAAAAGGTTTTCCCCTTCCCCCAAAAAAACCCTTTAAAAAAAAACTTTTTGGCCCCCCAAAAAAAGTTAAGGGGGAAAATTCCCCCCCCCAAGGGGAAAAAAAAAGGGGGGTTTTAAAAAAAAAAACCCCCCAAACCCCAAAAAATTTCCTTCCCCCCAAAATTAAAAAAACCCCAAAAACCCCAAATTTGGGCCCCAAACCCCCCCCCCCAAACCCCCCCCCCCCGGGCCCCAAAAAATTTTTTTGGGGTTTTGGGGGGGGGCCCCCCCCTTTTAAAAGGGGCCCCTTTTTTTTTTCCCAAAAAAAATTTGGGGGAAAAAAAGGCCCCCCCCCGGCCCCCCCCTTTTTTTTTTTTTTCCCCTTTTTTTGGGGAAAAAAAAGGGGGGGGGGGAAAAAGGTTTTTTCCCCCCAAAAAACCCCCCAAAAAACCCTTTTCCCCCGGGGTTCCGGTTTAAATTTTTCCCGGGGGGTTTTTTAAACCCCCCGGGAGCCCCAAGGCCTTCCCCTCCGGGGTTCCCCAACCCCTTTTTTTTTGGGGGGGGGAGGGGGGGGGTTTTTTTTTTTCCCCCAAAAAAAAAAAAATTTTTTTTTTGGTTTTGGGGGGGGGGGGAAAAAAAACTTTTCCCCCTTTTTGGGGGAAAAAAACCCCCCCCCAAAAAACCCCCCCCCAAAAAAAACCCCCCCCAAAAATTTTTTTTTCCCCCCCCCGGGTTTTCCCCGGGCCCTGGAAAAACAAATTTTTTTTTTTTTTTTCCCCTTTTTCCCCGGGTTTAAAAAGGGGGTTTTTTTTTTTTTCCCCCCCCCGGCCCCCCCCCGGGGGGGGCCCCCCCCCGGGGGGAAATTTCCCCCCCCTTTTTAAAAACCCGGGGCCCCCGGTTTCCCCCTTTTTTTTTTTTTTGGTTTGGGGGCCCCCAAAAAAAAAAAATTTTTAAAAAACCCCAAAAAAAAACCCCTTAAAAAAATTTTTTTTTTTTTGGAAAAAACCAAACCCCTTCCCGAAAATTTTTAAAAACCCCAAAAGGGGGAAAAAAGGGAAAAAAAACCCTTTTTCCCGGGTTTTGGGGTTTTAAATTTTCCCCCCCGGGGGGAAAAAAAACCAAAACCCCCCTTTTTTTTTAAAAAAAAAAAAATTTTTTAAAATTTTTAATTAAAAATTTTCAAAAAATTTTTTTTGGGGGGGGTTTGCCTTTTTCCCCTTGGAAATTTTTTGGTTTGGGCCCCAAACCCCCCCCCCCCCCAAAAAAAAGGGAAACCCCCAAACCCCCCCCCGGGGGGGGCCCCCCCCGGTTTTAAAAAAAATTTTCCCCGTTTTAAAAAACCCCCCGGAACATTTTTTAAAAAACCCCCAAAAACCCCCCCCCCCCAACCCCCCCCCCCCAAAAAAATTTTTTTTTCCCTCCAAACCCCCCCCCCCCCCCCCCCCCCCCCGGTTTCCCCCAAAAAAGGGTTTTTTTTTTTTTAAAACCCAAAAAAAATTTTTTTTTTTTAAAAAAATTTAAAAATTTTCCTTTTTTTTTTTTGGGCCCCAAAGGGGTTTTGGGTTTTTTTTTTTTTTTTTTAAAAAAAATTTTTTGGGGGGGGGTTTTTTTTTTTTTATTTTTAAAAAAAAAAAAAAGGGGGGGCCCCCTTTTAAAAATTTTTTTTTTAAAAAGGGCCCCCAAACCCGGGGGTTTTTTTAAAAAAAAAATTTGGGGAGTTAAAATTTTTTAAAAACCCCCTTTTCCCTTCCCCAAAAACCCCCCGGGAAAAAAAAACCCCCCCCCCCCCGGTTAAAAAAAAATTTTTTTTTTTTTAAAAAAAAAAAAAAATTTTGGTTTAAAAATTTTTTAGGAAAAAAATTTAAACCCCTTTTTTTTTTTCCCCCCCCCCAAAAAACCCCCTTTTTTTTTTTTTTTTGGCAAAATTTTTTTAAAAAAAAAATTTTTTTTTATTTTTTGGGGGGGGTTTTTTTTAAAAAAAAAAAGGTTTTTCCCCCCCCCGGGGGGGGAAAAATTTTGGGTTTTTTTTTTTTTAAAAAAAAACCCCCCTTTTTTTTTAAAAAAATAAAATTTTGGGGGGTTTTAAAATTTTAAAAAATTTTGTAAAACCGTAAGTAGCATTCATTGGTGTTTACAAAGCATGTGACAAATACAATTTGATTTTAGCCATGTTGGTTTTTAATGAATTGTGCACTTCTGTCCATATGGACAAAGCCGACACGGTCTTCAGCAGAGAATCAACATCCTGACATACATAAAAGTTAGGTACAGTATGGTTATTTGAAAATCAGTTCGTAGGTTTCATGCATCATTTTCCTATACAAAAGCAGAGGTGCAGTCTCACCTTGCTGGATCTGTTGGTGCTGAGAATAGCTGGGGGGATGAGGGTACTGCTGCAAGTAACTTGCAGGGCTTTGGGGGGCATAAGGGCTGGGCACAGGGCTGCTCTGCTGGGGCGTGAACCTAGCGCCTGACCCCATCTGTGGAGGGGCAAAGCGACTGTAGAGGAAGAGAATGAGAAGAACATGTCAATTCCAAGGGAATTTGCAACTCTCAAAAGCTGACAGAAGTCTTGAATGAACTATCAGAGCACCAACTGTACCATTACACCAAATTGAATGAGCAATTTATTGTCATACCTAGAAGGGCTGTGTGAGATAGTGGATTGCTGGTAGTTTGTCGACGCCGGACTCCCATGCATGGAATTCTGGGACATCTTGTACTGCGGCATTATTGGCTGCTGCATTATATCTTTGAGATGAAAAGAAGAGAAGTGATTAAAGAGGAGTAGAGGAGGCCGGTGCACAGCACCAGTACTGAGGCAACCTCCAGAACAAGACAGAGGGGTCCTGTTTATGTCAGTGGGAGATAGAAAACCACACTCAGAGAACTATTAGGCTACTTCAGGAGCGAGACTGCATGAGATAACTTTCTGATCCTCACTCAGTTATCTGAGTGGTCTATGGAAAGGTGGTTTGACAAAATGCATTTCTTTACAAACACTAGTATTTAAGAGTTCTGGGGAGTACAGGAGGTTATAGTAACAGAACAGTTTTCACAGAGTGTACAACCAAGTACAATTCACACATCGCATGATTCACTGTTGAATACAACAGCACAGTGTCAGGACAGAGCTTGTGAGACATTACACTGGAGAAGACGCAAACGGCCTGGGTCATTTAGCCAGAAGAGATGACACAGGATACAGGCACCAAGTCTGTGAATCATCATAACACACTTAGCTTGCCTAATCAAGGTCCTTAACTAAACATCACACATTAACACACAAATACCTGTTTGGAAAATCAGAGCACGACAGAGACAGTGATAAGCTATTTCAATTATCCGGATGATGAATGCAACAGCAGCTAGGGAACAGAGGTTAGGAAACTAATACAGTGAGGGAAAAAAAAGTATCCCATGCTGATTTTGTATGTTTGCCCACTGACAAAGAAATGATCGGTCTATAATTTTAATGGTAGGTTTATTTGAACAGTGAGAAAGAGAATAACAACAAAAAAATCCAGAAAACGCTTGTCAAAAATGTTATACATTGATTAGCATTTTAATGAGGGAAATAAGTATTTGACCCCTCTGCAAAACATGAATTAGTACTTGGTGGCAAAACCCTTGTTGGCAATCAGAGGTCAGACGTTTCTTTTAGTTGGCCACCAGTTTTGCACACATCTCAGGAGGGATTTTGTTCCACTCCTCTTTGCAGATCTTCTCCAAGTCATTAAGGTTTCGAGGCTGACGTTTGGCAACTCGAACCTTCAGCTCCCTCCACAGATTTTCTATGGGATTAAGGTCTGGAGACTGGCTAGGCCACTCCAGGACCTTAATGTGCTTCTTCTTGAGCCACTCCTTTGTTGCCTTGGCCGTGTGTTTTGGGTCATTGTCATGTGGAATACCCATCCACAACCCATTTTCAATGCCCTGGCTGAGGGAAGGAGGTTCTCACCCAAGATTTGACGGTACATGGCCCCGTCCATCGTCCCTTTGATACGGTGAAGTTGTCCTGTCCCCTTAGCAGAAAAACACCCCCAAAGCATAATGTTTCCCCCTGCATGTTTGACGGTGGGGATGGTGTTCTTGCCAGTTCTCCTCTGAATCATTCAGATGTTCATTGGCAAATTTCAGATGGGCATATATATGTGCTTTCTGTGGATTTCAGTCCTTCACGGCGTAGTGTGTTACCAATTGTTTTCTTGGTGACTATGGTCCCAGCTGTCTTGAGATCATTGACAATAAATAATAATAATAATAATAATAATATGCCATTTAGCAGACGCTTTTATCCAAAGCGACTTACAGTCATGCGTGCATACATTTTTGTGTATGGGTGGTCCCGGGGATCGAACCCACTACCTTGGCGTTACAAGCGCCGTGCTCTACCAGCTGAGCTACAGAGGACCACAAGATCCTCCCGTGTAGACAAGATCCTCCCGTGTAGTTCTGGGCTGATTCCTCACCGTTCCCATGATCATTGCAACTCCACGAGGTGAGATCTTGCATGGAGCCCCAGGCCGAGGGAGATTGACAGTTATTTTGTGTTTCTTCCATTTGCGAATAATCGCACCAACTGTTGTCACCTTCTCACTAAGCTGCTTGGCGATGGTCTTGTAGCTCATTTCAGCCTTGTGTAGGTCTACAATCTTGTCCCTGACACCTTGGAGAGCTCTTTGGTCTTAGCCATGGTGGAGAGTTTGGAATCTGATTGATTGATTGCTTCTGTGGACAGGTGTCTTTTATAAAGGTAACAAACTGAGATTAGGAGCACTCCCTTTAAGAGTGTGCTCCTAATCTCAGCTCATTACCTGTATAAAAGACACCTGGGAGCCAGAAATCTTTCTGATTGAGAGGGGGTCAAATACTTATTTCCCTCATTAAAATGCAAATCAATTTATAACATTTTTGACATGCATTTTTCTGGATTATTTTGTTGTTATTCTGTCTCTCACTGTTCAAATAAACCTACCATTAAAATTATAGACAGATCATTTCATTGTCAGTGGGCAAACGTACAAAATCAGCAGGGGATCAAATACTTTTTTCCCTCACTGTATGCATGACTACTATGGATGACAAACTGTCTCAGACATGACGAGGTTCCAAGTCTTGCGCTGTATCCCAATCTCAGCACAGCATTATACAGTACAGGGGATCTCTACTGGCACCAGCCTCAACAGTCTATGCAGACACCACTATCCCCCTATAGCACCAGCAACTAGACACCAGTTTGTCAATAGATGAAAAGAAGAACCCCAATGGTATCACTGATTGAAATCGCTTCTTGCTGTCCATAGATCACAGAGCAATTAAATGTTTTATCAAGTATACTTAAGGCAATAAGTACCACAAGCTCTTTCCAAGCTACAAGTACAGCGCAAAGCTTGCCTTGCAATGCCTCAAAAAGCTGTTTTGACCCAGAAAACACATTTGACCCAGGAAGTGTTACTCAGGTCAACAAATCAAGGCCCTAAGAAGAAGGGACACAGTCAGTGCTGTGTTAGGCCATACACCGTGGCCCAGTGCAGCGTCAGAGACACTCTCTCCTTACCACCCTGAACCCTGTGCCAGGCTGACTTACTTTTCTCCCTGAAGATGTTGGGGTTCCTAGACAGCACTGTCTGCAGCAGCACAGGCACGTCTCCCTCTGGGTCATCACTGCCCAGGTTATCCTTCAGCTCTCTGCAATGGGAGGGGAGGGGGCAGAATGTTACAGTCAGCACATCAGAATAAATCACACACTTTATACATGAATCAACTATGGCAACTGTGGCTTAAAATGAGAGAACTTTCTCTCCTCAGCTGGTTTGAAAGCTAGTGTAGAAATGTGCAGGGGCGGTGAGGTACTCACATGTGCTCGGTGGAAACCTGGTTGAGGCTGTGAGCCAGCTGGGACACCAGGTTCTCATCCCGGCAGGCCAGCAGACAGTTGACCTCCTCCGCGATCCTCCCATTGTACAGCAGACTCTTAGTGGTGGTGGCGGGGAGAGGGGAGGGCAGGGGCAGCTGGTTTAACACTGCAAAGACGAAAAGGAGACCGGTTAGCCTGAGTGAGTGGGTGGTTGGCTGAGCGAGTGAGTGAGTAGACGTCTGCCATACTGAAAAGACACTGAATATCCCTTTGAGCACGGCCAAATGAATAATCAAGCTGTGGATAATATATTATACCACTCAGAAAATAAATCTCACCTTCCTTCCTAACTGAGCTGCCGGGTAGGAAGGAAACTGCCAAGGGATGTCAACATGAGGACAATGGTGATAAAACACCTATTGTTTTCTGTATTGATGTGGCTTTGAGCAATGTTTTACGACACCTGTGGTATATGGCGGAACAACATTAAAACTTGTTAACTATGATTTGTGATTATGGTCGTCTCTGCTTGCTGTAACCAACAAAGGCTGAGATGGAAAAATGTGCATGCAGGGTCCGACATTAACAATGGCCCGTGGATCTTGTCAGTCACTGGTCCAACCTGGCCATTAACTTTTCTGTGCATTTTTGCATTCCAGTTCAACATTCACCAGCTATGTCACAGTCTACCATTGAAAACCAATGAAGACTACACACAGAATACTCAAGCTATTTGTATTTGAGCAATATGATTGGCCGTTCATTCAAGCACCACCACGCTACTGCAAGTCACAACTTCTTGAGCAGCACATGAATTGATGCCTTCACACAGCACACGCGAACTGTCCAGAGCAAAAAGAAACGCACAATAATCCACTCACTGAGGTTATTTATTTTACGAAAAGTGATTTACAAAATTAAACTCTGCTGTGGTGTTTGGCCTGCCCTGCTACCTCATTGGATAACGCTGGACAGGCCTCTTGCTAGCGGTAACTCAAATGCGAGGGTCTGAAGCTCATTGGCTGGAACTCAAATTGCTAGGGGGATGGCCCACATGAGGGGAAATGTAGGGAAACAGTTGCTTTTAAACTAGGGATTTCGTGGCTAATTGAGGTAAGACAGTTAATTCTGCTCATATATTATGCATGTATAAACTACACATTGAAACATCCAGCCCAAAGCGGGAGGTTAAACACATTTTTTCTAAATCGCCAAAGTAACGGAGAATGTCTTTAATAGCTGAATATAGAGAGATGCATGCCAACCTATAGGCCAGTGTTTCCCAAACTTGGTCCTGGGGACCCCAAAGGGTGCACGTTTTGGTTTTTGCGCTAGCACTTCACAGCTGATTCAAATAATCAAACTTCGATGATTAGTTGATTATTTGAATCAGCTGTGTAGTGCTAGAGCAAAAAAATAAATGTGCACCCCTTGGGGTCCCCAGGACCAAGTTTCGGAAACGCTGCTATAGGCCCTGCATGACCCCAATGCATTAAAAAAACTACACCATGTCTGGGCCAGTAGAAATTCTGTTTGGGACAGTACATTCTTGGCCAACTGGCCTGACCGGGCCAGAAAGAAAATAAGTTAAGATTGGACCCTGGCATGGATCAACAACATCCCCGATATTGGTTTCACTAAATAAGGAAGCATATACTGAAAAGCCTCCTTCCAAATTATATTAGAAACAAATACATTGTACAACCTAAATGCAAAGTATTAAGTTAGAGGTAAATCCAACACTACACATTACTGCATAAAACCATCCATAGTTTAAGGGTGTTTTCACACTAGAAGACAACATATTTGGTAAGAATCAAAACATTGGGTACAAAATCTATTCTAGCTCTAAAAAGGGTCCCAAGTCGAGTCCCAAGTAGAACAGGTCAAGTCTCGAGTCAAGTCCAAGTTGTGCATTCTAAGAGCGAGTCAAGTCGAGTCACATGTTTTTTTTTAAAGTAAAGTAAAATAAAACATCTATATGACTTGTTCAACTACAAATCTTTGTCTATTTATTGAGCCTACCAGACATCCCTTTTCATTATTTTGTCTACAACACATTTTGGTTATTTAATAATTACTTTTAACAAATTACAAATGTAAGCTTCATAAGTATATTATCAATTTCAAGCGATTTTGACATACCAAAAGACCAGTAGGCCTATGCTAGTAATTTTTGCTTGATGCCCCATTGCTGGTGACCTTGGAAAGTAAACACTTAAAGAGATTCTCCGACACTTTTGTATACTTTTTAGTGAGTAGTTCTGAAAGTAGTGCTCGCGAGCCAAAAGTGGTCCCAGACAATTGCATACTATGTCACACACAGTATGTGCAGATATGTGCACCACGACATTGCTCTCTCTCCCTCTCGCACTCCGCTGTGTGTGCATCTTGCTAGCTGCCACTCAAATGGTGAGGGGATGAAGCTCATTGGCTGGAACTATAATTGCTAGGGGGCTGGCCCACGTGGGGGAAATTGGCGCAGCACAGCTTCCAGTAAAGAGTCGGTTTCAAACTCAGTGTTTTCCATAAGCACCGTCCGTAGGCTAATCAGCCAGTAACGGACACATTTTCAGCCAGCTAATTTTCCACTTCATATTAACTAGGCTACTTTTAATTTAGAAACGTATACTTCGCTAGTCCGTCGAACCCTCTCCCTCTAGAATGAATGATATGCATCTTCTTGCAATCTATTGATAGGATAGGCGCCTGCCAGTCACAAAGCGAATGAGGACAGGGAAACGCAGTCTGATGTCTGTTCCCCCCTCCCAGTAAAACTGGTGTGCGCTGTGGTTGGTTGCATCAGAACAAGTAAACAAAATGATTTCTTAGGTTTCCTATCCTAGGATGTCGGGGCTTGCCATATAGTGACGCTAAAGTGATTGACTCTCGTCTCGTCAAGTCAGTGTAGCCTACCAAATCGCATCGGTGAGAGAGCCGTTCATTTGGCTCCCTAATTTGCATAGGCTACTGGTAGGCCTAGGCTTTTTGGCGATTATCTGCAGATAACTTTTGAAAGCATTCAATGAAGATGGTGAATCATCACTGCAGGAACTATAAGTTGTGGAGAGCCTCATTCTGGTCCAAATATGATAATTAGGGCCCTTGCGGAATGCAGGCATTAAAACGGAATTCAACAATATTCAAAAATGTATCGACCTTAGTAGGGAATCAACTACAGTGCGTTCAGAAAGTATTCACACCCTTTGACTTTTTTCACATTTTGCTGTGTTACAAAGTGGGATTCAAATGGATATAATTGTCATTTTTGGTCAACGATCTACACAAAATACTCTAACATTTATTAAAAATTAATGAAAAATAATCCATTAATATATCTTGATTAGATAAGTATTCAACCCCCGGAAACAATACATGTTAGAAACACATTTGTCAGCGATTACAGCTGTACGTTTTTTGGGGTAAGTCTCTAAGAGCTTTGCACACCTGGATTGTACAATATTTGCCCATAATTTTTTTTCCAACTGTTCAAGCTCTGTGAAGTTGGTTGCTGATCATAGCCATTTTCAAGTCTTGCAATAGATTTTCAAGCTGATTTAAGTCAAAACTAACTAGGTCACTCAGGAACATTTTATGTCGTCTTGGTAAGCAACTGCAGTGTAGATTTGGCGTTGTGTTTTATGATATTGTTCTGCTGAAAGGTACATTTTGCTCCCAGTGTCTGTTGGAAAGAAGACTGAATGGATTTTGCCTGTGCTTAGCTGTATTCAGTTTCTTAATTATTATTTATTTGTAATTTTTACCCCCTTTTCCTCCCCAATTTCGTGATTACGATCTTGTCTCATCGCTGCAACTCCCCAACGGGCTGGGGAGAGGCGAAGGTCGAGTCATGCGTCCTCTGAAACATGACCACCCCAAACCGCGCTTCTTAACACCCGCTGGCTTAACCCGGAATCCAGCTGCACCAATGTGTCGGAGGAAACACTGTTCAACTGACGACCGAAGTCAGCCTGCAGGCGCCCGGCCCGCCACAAGGAGTCGCTAGAGCGCGATGAGCCAAGTAAAGCCCCCCCAGCCAAACCCTCCCCTAACCCGGACGACGCTGGGCCAATTGTGCGCCGCCCTATGGGACTCCCGGTCACGGCCGGATCGAACCCCAGGCTGTAGTGACGCCGCAACACTGCGATGCAGTGCCTTAGACTGCTGCGCCACTCGGGAGGCCCTTATTCAGTTTATTTTCATCCTAAAAAACTCCCTAGTCCTTGCCGATGACAAGCATACCCATAACATGATGCAGCCACCACCATGCTTGAAAATAGGAAGAGTGTACTCAATGATGTGTTGTATTTGCCCCAAATATGACGCTTGTATTCAGGACAAAAAGTCAATGTCTTAGCCAATTTTTTGCAGTGTTACTTAAAGGGATACTTCGGGATTTTGTCAACGAGGCCCATTTTCTAGTTCCCCAGAGTCAGATGAACTCATGGATACCATTTTTATGTCTCTGTGTCAAGTATGAAGGAAGTTAGAGGTAGTTTTGCCTACTAGCGTTACCCATAGACTTCCAGTCATTGCGCTATCTACTAGCAAGGATTATTTTCTACACATCTACCAATCGGTGCCCTTCTTTGCAAGGAATTGAAAAACCTCCCTGGTCTTTGTGCTTGAAATTCACTACTCGATTGAGGGACCTTACAGATAATTGTATGTGTGGGGTACAGAGAAGGGGTAGTCATTCATAAATCATGTTAACCACTATTACTGAACACAGAATGAGTCTATGCAACTTATTATGTGATTTGTTAAGCACATTTTTACTCCTGAACGTATTTCGCCTTGCCATAACATAATGGGTTGAATACTTGTTCACTCAATACATTTCAGCTTTTCATTTTTTATTAATAAAAAAAAAAATTCTACAAACGAAATGCCACTTTGACATTATGGGGTATTGTGTGTAGATCAGTGACACAGAATCTCAGTTTAATTTAAATTCAGGCTGTAACACAACAAAATGTGGAAAAAGTAAAGGGGTGTGAATACTTTCTGAAGGCACTGTAAATGTATTGAAAATGTATTACATTTGCCCAGGTTTATCATAAGACATGAACAGAACGCATCAGGTGATTCGTATTTCCTGCAACTTTCTAAAGAGGCAACAAGAATGCCCCTGTCTGTGTGTGGTGTGCGTGTCTCCCACTTTGTGTAGCCGTTAATCGATGATGCTAATGAAAACAGTCTTCTGGTAAATGGAAAGGCTTTCCCAAAAACCTTAAATTAAATTAACTACAAAGTAGCCTATGCTTACCTGGCAGAATAATATAATGATTATTTTCATCAATCCAGTGGGTATTTACTTTGCAAACTCTACCATCATGTGCGCTACAAAAACACTGCTAAACAACAGCCTCTTGTGCTAGGTGCCCACTTGAATTAAAGGGTAACTACATCCAAAAATCTAAATTTCCCAGATTTTTTCCAGACCTCAAAAATGATCTCCTAATGTGGTTTAAGCATTGTTGTGGACTTAGAAAAACAACAACATTGGATGTTCTATTTTAAAAAGTGTGATTTTGAGAGTGAAAACCTGGATACACTCAATGGAAAAAACAGAATTTTGGAAAGAACAAAACTGAATCAGGCAAAACATTTATTTTATAGGGCCCTACCTAAATGATAATTTGTCATTAATTTAGGCTATGTAAATTAGAAAGAGATAATACTTAAGACTGACATAACCCTTTTATTTTTTTATATTTAACCTTTAATGTAGGCCGTCATTTTAAATAAGAATTTGTTCTTAACTGACTTGCCTAGTTAAATAAAGGTGAAAATAAATGTGTATATATATTTTTCACGATAATGTGGGCTACATAGTTCCTTTTTCAGTTTTAATAAATTACATAATTTGAAGAGCAAACATTATTGTGGCAATTCATATCTTGCAGTAAAACTGTAAATAAGACTTTAATCTCAAGAGAAGACAGATCAAATGTTTTAAAAAAGGTTTACAATAGTCCTGATCATATAGGCCTAGACAATATCCAAAACAACCAACAATACATTGAATTCATATTTTTTGGGTAATTTAAATTGTAAAGTCATGTCTTTCTACATAATACCCCAACTAATTATTCTAATCTGGGAGGTAAATAATGATTCAATCATTTCTCTATGTAGCCTATTTGGATGGAATTAGAATGTACCAGAGGCCACCAAAATAGAGCTACTTAGGCAAAACATTTTGAACCCTTGGAGGCAAAGACCCCGCACCCTGGCCCGGGGTGCCTGGCTGACTACTTTTTCTATTTGGCTGGCTTTATGTACGTGTACTTGTGGCTAATTGAGATAAGACAGTAATTCTGCTAATAGATTATGCACATGTATGAACGACACATTGGCACATCCAGACCAAAGCGGGAGATTTAAAAAAAGACTTACTAGTTGCCAAAGTTGCGGAGCATGTCTTTAGTATTCTTCATCACCAAGAATATTAAAGACAGAAGGATACTATCAACAAACTACCTGTTGATAAGCAACTGCTTGTTAGGGTAAAGCTTAGGTTTAGAATAAGGGTTAGGGTAAGGGTTAGGGTAAGAGTTAAGGTTAGGGCTAGGGCTAGTAGATAGTTAGTTGAAATGTTAGTGATAGCCTGTAGAGCATCTACAGATGGAGTATCCAAATAAAGTGTTACCCATTTACGGCAATCCTCTCTCCCTACAATTTGACGTTTGCGCTGTACAGCAAATCACCAATCTGTTGGCTAGCTCACCAGACCTGTGTTGATTGACAGTTTGCTGGTCCAATTAGAGGGCCGAGTGTGTGTTTCACAAGCCAATCTGTTGCACGTTTTTTTTTTACTCCAGTCAGACTCGAGTCCAAGTCATGTGACTCTAGTCCACACCTCTGGTGGTGGCTGCATCATATAATGGGTATGCTTGTTATCGGTAAACTTGGCAGGATCAAAAGAAAATGAAAAGAGCAAAGCAGAGGCAAAATAATAGAGGAAATCCTTCTGCAGTCTGATAAAGACCTTACGCTGAGAAAGAAATCCACCTATTTGCAGGACAAAAACCTAAAAGTGAAATTCACATCTAGGGATTGTTTGGCAGGTGGATAGGAAATGTTGAATAATAATTCAAAGAAAAGATGCCCTGGCACACTCTACATGCAAAGTCACTTGTTTAGTTTGTGCCAACGTTTCAGCCTCATGGCTCTTCGTCAGAGGTCATATCTGTATTCAAGCTACCTAGCTACTGGGTAACTAGCTACAACCTTGTGTTTGTGAACTGTCAAACTCAGGCGAATGGCCACAAACAATGTAAACACGTGCCACGCATGCACAGAATATTTGCCTAGATTTGTAACCCAGAGACATTTCCATCCAGGCTTGGACACTTAACCACTGTGTAATTTATTGCATTGAAAGTCGAGGCACAAAGGCAACAAAATGTGCACAGGTGGATACTTTCTGATATGGGCACTATACATCACATTGCACTACCAATGCAATTCTAAAGCAAGGGCTATGGAAAAGTACCATCAATCATACTCAGTTGTTGGAGTGTCCTAAATACCAAGACTGTAATATTCATGCAGTGAACGTTAATGCTTTATTACAAGAAGAAAAAAGGAGCAATCAAACAAGCTCAATTCAAATCAGGCTAACTTGGTTAATTAATAATCTAAATACCAATAAATTAGCTTTGTGGCAGGCAGCACTGACCATAAAGCAAGCAAAATGGTTGTGACTTTATGAGATGTATTATTGTTTAAAGGATTGTATACATTTTGAAAACAGCATTGTATACTAAAGATCTATTTTGCCGATGTACCATCAAAGCTTGCAGCAGGAATAAATGTCAGTAGACTCAGTATATCAAAAATAGCTTGGCCCCACTAGCATCTTTTCACTTGCTTTCCAGGTATCCGCCATATCAGTAAATGTGTGAGTGGCAGTGTAATACTTACAGTCTGTAAGGCTAGCGATCCCAGCAAGAGTAGTAATGGGAACATGAGGCATATCCCCATTCATGCTGAAGATGGGGGTGGGGGAGTCGTGTCGATGCACAGGTTGCTCAATGTCGTCGCTCTCCGACTGTTCCTCACATCTCCCAACCGCTGCAGAACAGAGAGGGCTTCATTAGAACAGCCAGCGGCAATGAGAGATGGCCAATTCACAATATCACACAATGCTCCTCAATGTGCAACACTGTGCTCAAAAGAGCCAGAGCATGTTAAACCAAAGCCTTGGTGAAAATAGAATCAGGGGCTTTCATATCAAAAGTCAAAGTGACGGAGCAAGAATCATCAGGGATGAACTAATGGGTTTACATCAATTAAGCACTATAGTTCAGCCAAGGCTGAGGGTATTGACACGAGTTTGAGAGTAGTGCAACAGGATACAAGGGTAGCAACATCTGCAGAGGGTTAAACTGGTTAGTACAAGGTTATAAAGCTCATATAGCACTCACTGACAACTTTCACTCAGGCAGCAGCTCAAGGTTTTACTTGCATTATAAACATGACCTAGGCATATTCCATTATGGAAGCAGCAGCAATAGAACTATAAATTCATGAACTCGCATGTGGAGTAAAATAGGCTACTTGTTGTGCGCATGGTGAAATAGGCTACTTGTTGTGTGCATGGGGAAATAGGCTACTTGTTGTGCGCATGGGGAAATTGGCTACATGGGGAAATTGGTCAATGGCTGCCAGAGCAAACACACTAGTACAACACATTAGCAGACATGCATCAGTGGGGAGAAGGAATTGAAGAAATCCGAGTACAGTACTCGTGGTGCCCTTACTCTGACAAGTAACAAAACAGCCCTTACAAAATATAGTCAGATCCTTTCCTACTGATAATGCAATGGCTTTGGGAGCGTTCTGAACTTATGCGCTAAACTGAAGCATGCCGATAATGTTTTTCATTAGGACTGAGTGAACTGCAGTGCATTTAAAAAGAGTGTGCACTTTTTGCAGTTGGACTGAACATCTCATTATAATTCACTACTATTATCCTTGCCCACCGACAAGGGAGCCACTGTCAGAGAAGGCAACTAGAGGAGTAATTCTACCCCTACAGCATGATCAACACAAGACTGACAGTAGAGACCAGGAACAGCAACACATAGCAATAGGCCTAGATGATGTGACATGGCACAGGTCTATTATCAGTGGTTACCGGGGTAGTACCTTGATAATCCTAGAAAGAGGTGTGAACCCATGCATGCTTAAATGAAAACAGCTACCCCTTTCCGGCCCCAAATGCTCATGGTCACTCTATAGCTGTGCTGGTTGGGTTGGAAGGTGGGCGAGCAAGCAGCATAAAGGATTATCTGGTTGAGGGAAGGAAGGCAATTCCTCTGGCGCAGCAGGATCTTCTTGAAAACACTTGCCTTTATATGTAGGGCCCTATAAAGTGTATCCTACCGCTGAAGAGTTTTGATATCTGCCACACCCCCTTTGAATTATTATTGTATTGGAGAAAACCATTCACACGTTTAAAAAGAAATATGCTACTTATCGTTTTATCTATAAAATGTCTTGCACAACTAACTTCATTAGTTTTTATTACTTTAAATATTTATTTTGTGATCCACCCCTGTAAACGTAATTTGCCTGATGACCCGCGAGTGGAGAAGATTTCAAACAAGCGCACTTCCGTCCGCGTTCCTTCTCCTCATCGCCTCTCTTCGATTACCTTTGACCTTTTTCAAAAGGAGACGAGAGAGGTCGGAGAGAGGACGCAGGAGATGAGCAAATCCAATTGAGAAAAGGCCCCTGTCTGTGTGTGCGCGTTTGTCTACCACTTTGTGTAGCCATTAGCGATGATGTTAATGTAACAACAACAGCCTTCTGGTAGATGGAACTGCTTTCCAAAAACCTTCTCAATCACAAGTGCTACAGAAACATCGCTTACCAAACAACCGTCTCAGGTTGGTGCACAGTTGAATTAAAGGGTAACTACACCCAAAAATCTAAATGTCTTCGTTTTTTCCCAGACCTCAAAAGTGGTCTCCTGATGTGATTCAAGCATTGTTGTGCACTTGGCATTGTTGTCTACCTTTTCTATTAAAGTGTGATTTTTTAGCAAGAACACCTGAAAAAAATGGGAAAAACTGTAACATGGAAAAATACAACTGAGAAAACGGATTTGGGGGGGGGGGGGGGGGGGGGGGGGGGGGGGGGGGGTAAACAGAATCAGGAAAAAAATTTAACAGATATGCTCCCTAACTGTGAAATTGCAGGTAGCTACTGGGCAATTCCATGGTAACGGAATTGCGCTGAGATTTTCCACTTCAAATGTATGCCAAACAAAAAACATTGATTTCAAAGTTTAACAAACAATACAACTCCCTGCACAAGGACTACTTTTAACAATTTACACTGAACATTTTACAAAAACACATTTACTGGAATAACTGTGCAGATGCAAAGTTTGGTAACAGAATTTCGGTAAAATCTCCCTTTTTTAAATTTGTCAATGTTTTCCAAAAACGTGTAAAATATCTGCTCCGAATTAAGATTCAACGATGTCTGCAGAAAGAATGGGGTGTCAGCTATCACATGACACAATGGCTTTGAAAAAATCTCCTTTGGTTATTGAACTAGAGTAAGTGAACTGGATTTACACATGGTAACAGAATTGCAGTAACATAATGTAATCATGGGTCCCTGATCTGTACTACAAAGAATTCAAGGATGTCCCCAACAACAACAAAAATCTTGGTCGACCGAAAGTCGTCTGTTCTTTCGACCAATTGATAGTGTCTTTTTCCATATATAAACACACCCTGTCTTTTAATAAAATCAACTATATGCACTGAGCTTGTCTGATACTTTAAACACACTGTTTGATTAAATAATTAAGACACACAAATTACTTGAGGGAGCCCGAGGGGAATTTATTTGGGCCGGGCTCGGACGGTGTAATTTAATTTTTTTACAGTGAGTGCCTGTGTGACTGGCACTCGTTGCCTCGCTCTCCTCCCTGCTGCAGCGAGCAGGTACAGCAACAGTGTTTATTGCGCTGTCTGTGGTGCTGAAGCTGCAACATAATTACAGGCATTTTTAGTTTCTTCCTTATTCCCTCAACCCTTGATCTCTGTACGTGACACATGTATGCATCGCATGGACATGGACAATAGGGCTTGACATATAGCATATCATAATCACATAAATAAAATGGTTATAACAAACTCCAACACTGTAACACGTGACAGCATATAATGGATGCGGAGGACGTGAAAAAGAAACTCGAAACAGGGGAATGTTTACTGGTTGCTCAGGAGGGAAAGGGGAAGTCCGAAGTGTGGAAGACATTTGACTTAGTTGTGGAAGCCACTGGAGATCAAGAAAAAGAAGGAGGGTATAGGAGCAAGCGTTGCGTGCGTATTATGTGTGCCAAACAGGTGCAGTTAGATACAAATATTTTGGAACAGTGTAAATAATGCTAAATAAATTAAGTGTTCCAGAGAGTCTGTTCTAACGAGATAAAAAAATGTCAGCCTTTATTTCTGCAAAGAATAGAAACAGTTGCAGGCATTCGTGAATGCAATTTGATGACGTGTTGCAGTTTATTTATTGTTTAGGCTAATTATTAGAGGATCCCTTATTTCATTTGTAAACTAAAATACTTGATTGCATTTCAAAACATGAATGACTTGTATGCTGTGTGATGACATGAACGAATGAATGGTTGATACAGTAGCCTATATATTGAAATATAGGCCTAAGTAGGAGGCCCTCTTAGGCCATACAGCTCGATGGTGGTTATACAAGGCTACTATACTAAGCCTACTAATGACATTACTTATTATTATATTGATGATCATAATAATAATTGTAATAATAACAATAAGGAGATCAAGAAAAGGAGGGTATAGGAGCGAGAGCTGTGTGTTTATTGTGTGCGACAAACAGGTGCATAAAATTTATTTTGTGGTCCACCAGCCACTGTGGCAGGTAGACTTCAAAATCTACCAGCCACTGATTTTGTACCAGTCAAATTCCCCCTACCCCCCGCTAAAATTACACCAAGAAAACACACAATAAATAGATGAGCATGCTTTGTAATGTTTCTAAAACAATACATGTATTACTATTAAGAAGTAATGTAGTATATTTTTTGTGACCTGAGACTTTAAACCAAAATATCAGATGAGACAAAAATATTAACCTGCCCCTTTAAGGGCGAGAGTTACTGTGGTAGCGGGACTCGAGTCATGCTTGTGCCTGTGAGATTGAGTCTGACTAGTACAAACGTTGTCTTCTCTTCCCTAGCAGTTGAAACTCAAACATAGAAAAAAAACATAGCTTGTAAACAAAACAATGTAAATAGTCAAGACACACAAGCTGTGCGCAGCGCTTCTGAAAATGAATATTTCACTTAGCTCTTCACTTGCGCACAGCCCCCAGCCAGGCAGTGTTGCAGCGCGAGGTGGAATAGGCTATATAGAATTTGTGCTTCTTTGATCTTGCGCAATTAATTTACCAGCTATGAAACTAAACAGCGGAAATACCTTAAAAACAGCTACTGTAGCATTTATTTTACTATAAATGTGATCATACTTGACTATTTTTAATCAGAAATGCGAGTGAAATGCTCGCACTGTAGAGCCCTGACCACCCGCCAACGTGGCTGGTGAAATAGACCTTTTACCCCCAATGCCAAAATCTACCCGCATAAGTGGCGGTGTTAATTTTAGGCCCCGATTACAATTTGATTATCTTTCTGACCATTTGGAACAGTGTAAACAACACTAAATAAATTAAAAGCAGCCTATACAAGAGAGTCTGTTCTAACGAGAGAAAAAAAATGTATTACAGCATAGCAAAGATTTAAAAAACTTGTGAAATTGCTTTATCTGACATGTTGCAGTTGCGTGAGGCTTGGAGCTCACGGAATCAATATGCTATTAAAAAAACTCAAACAGGCAACAGAAGCAGAATCCATCTTATTTCTGTAGATATATATGGATGATTTATAAAGCCAGGCACATTTAACAGTTAGGCTATTTATTACAGACCAAATTAGGTTGGGTTTCCTCTTTCCACACTTTTCTTAGACAATTAAATCTCCTCACTCCGCTGCTGCCTCCACCGCATTGTTCTCAACACCAATCTGCTGGT